AACTCATATCCCCACATTTTCGTTTCCCGGACGAACTCCACTTAATTGCTCATTAGTATGACGTACTCGAGGATATCAGAAAGGTGAAATAGAAAACTGAACAGCAAATAATGCTACACTAAGTACAAATAATTTGACATTCTGCTGTTTGCCTTGGGATGCATATTTTACCTCACGATCTTATGACCTTTAGTATGGCCTTGAAAAGGAGATCAGTTTCTACGTTTAGCGTTACGTCGTTGGTGCACGACGTATAACTACTTCGGACATGTGTGACCCCTATGTCGTTTCCCGTGTTAGGTCGGAAAAAGTTATAACGTATACCACGCCTCAAGGAAAAGAAGTTCGGGTTACCCGAGAAGTTTATTTACGTGATAATATTCCTTGTCGTACCAAACTCTGTTCTAATTTAGAATGCCGTCAAGGTATGTCTGCCACTAAACATCTTCCTCTGTGTGCTTAGGCTACGCCCTTCCATCGAAACTCGACAAGATTGTGATAGTGGATGGATTTTATGCCTTGTCATACTGGGAAATTTTTGAGTCAACGGAAATTTGTGGCATTGTCGTGACTTTATCGTCATTGAATTACGTAGGAGTTTATTTGTCTCAGTATTTTAAGAACATTAAGTTACACAATACTCGTATCTTATCAGGCTCAACAACAGTCACCTTCGAAAGCAGTATACAACCGAATTAGGTCTTGCATTTTGGACCCAGCACAATGTTGCATCCTCTTTGACAACGAGTTCCATATTGAGTGCTTTCAACAGGCCCGTCCAGGTGAATCTGCGCTAGATTACACCACACGTCTCAATTGGATTTCTGCTCAATGGTATCTTAATCACTTAAAGGGAATGGTTAATGTTATTCTTCTTACTGAAAATAAGTCGACTGCACTTGAAGCTGCCCGAAGAACACCATCGACGCTGAAATCGATGGATGGCGTTTTGGTGTGTTACTTACACTTGTACTTAAACGAATCAGTCGTGCTTTGTAAATAATTAACTTTCTCTCACTAAGGTAATGAATCTCGCCACTTACCTTCAAATGTATCATCCGAATCTCACAACTGTCCGACAGCTATACGATTCTCTCAGCGCCTCACTCAAATCAAGTCAACAGGGGTCTGGTGTTCCCATTTCTTCCGTACACGATGATACAGCTGTGACTAATCTGCCTCAAAAGCCTGCTGCAGGGGATGTCTATCCTTCGCATTTACCAGAGGCAGCTCTTCTTGCTGGGTTGCGATCTGGACAGTTCCTCCAAGGTGTCTTGCGTGTTTCACTCTTCCGCAGCACAACTGAAGCTATTGTAGCTCTTACAGAGTATGTTTCTTGCAATCCTGACTATCCTATTTAAGATTGTTCCTCTAATAACTGCATCTCTTTTCCAGTTCAAGCGCGTTGAAACATCAAGCTGAAATCCAGGACACAGAGTTTGCCTCCCGTTCAGAAATTGCAATAAACGGTATGATGCACAGAAATCGCGCGATCGATGGAGACATTGTCGTGGTGCGGTTGCTGCCTAAACAGTTATGGATGACTGTTTCAAGTAACTTGGCTCCTTCAGAAGCAGGTATTAAGAATTTTTACCAACTAAACCTCATGATATTAATCTATTTGGTGGTCTTCGTTTGGTAATATTTTCAAATCGAAATATATATGTGGAAATATTTAAATCGGATTCTAGTAAATTTGTGCTTACTTCACAAGTATCAATTAATGACAGGCCTGTTCGAAATGTTTAAAGCGCGAGGCGTTTTGGACTCACTTGATCTAAGATGGTCCTAACGAAAACCATGCCTAACTACTAGGCCTGATGTTGCAATACGTCTGCTCTCGCATTTTATTTCTCTGAATAGGCATTGCCGAAGCGATTGCTTCAGGAACAGGTGAAGCTGGGGTAGTTGATGAGACGGGTGAGGCAGAGTCCATGGGCGCCGCGCAGACATCGCCATTGTCCACGCATTCTTCTGGTCTGCCCTGTGGTTTCGTGGTAGGCGTCCTCAAGCGAAATTGGCGCGACTATGTGTGCACGGTTGTGCCGCGTGAGGGAGACCAAAACAAGCTATCTGGCGGTCCTGGGTGGATCATCGCCACGCCTTGGGACAGGCGTATTCCCAGAGTTCGTGTCTTCACTTCGGAACCAAGCAAATTACATGGGATCAGGTAACATCGTCTAAGCTCGTTTGAAGTTTATAACTTCACTATGTTCTCTTTACCCTTTTTTGTCGGCCATGCATATCAATTTAAGTAATTGAGGCCAGGACATCCATGCTGCCTGTGAGTAAGTTTTATACTAACGTCCTCAAAGCAAAGGAAACGGCGTTGAAGAACAGGCTTTTTACTCGTTTGAGGCGAAAACTAAATGCTTGAATGCTTCTTGGTAATGCCTGTTGATCTACAGCAGAGGAAAGATACGGCCTAGCCAACACACGGCCATATGTAAATAGTGGTAGATATTGCACCTGTAAGTTTGACTAAGAGTCAACTGCAAGCCCCCGTCATTTGGCAGAATGGTTATAATGAGACATTTTGTTTGTAATTTACACTTATATTCTTGGCGATGTTGAATGTATTGCTTTAAATATGCTTAGGTTTGTAGTTCGTATGGACCGTTGGGAGACTAGTTCAAACTACCCGAACGGTCACTTTGTTGAGTCACTTGGCCCCATTGGTGACCTTGAGACGGAGACTCAGACTATCCTCGTGGAACATGGGCTTGCCTACCGGCCTTTCACTGACGTGCAGCTGGACGAAATAAAGCATCTAGCGTCGGCTAAAGGCGCGTGGCGTGTCGATCCCCTTGAGGTCTCCCGACGTCGCGATCTTCGATCCCCCGCGGTGTCGGGGAACCCCCAGTCAGAGGGCACCTTGGTTTTCTCGATTGACCCCTCTGGTTGCCAGGACGTTGACGACACCTTGTCGGTTCGGTGGTTGGGAAGGGAAGGTGACGAGAAGCGACGAATTCAGTTGGGAGTTCACATTGCCGATGTAACACACTTTGTCGAAGCCAATGGCAATTTGGACGCAGAAGCTAGGCGACGGTCGACGTCAGTTTATCTAGCTGATCGTCGCTACGACATGTTACCTGGGTTGCTAAGTGGAGACATTTGTTCTCTTTGGAGTGGTGTTGATCGGTAAGTTAATTCGGTTCCCGATTCTCAGTTCTTATGCATTTTAAGCTCTCTTTTAGTCCCGGTTGTGTGCTACCGATATTTTTGGTATCGTTTGGGAGGGGGCACATTCAAACACATTGGACGTTTTCATTTGCCGATGTTTAGGCAGTTTGAAATTAGTCTGTTTTGAGTCTGCGCGAATTCGATGGTCGTTGGCATGTGTTACCTCCAAATTGCTTGTTCCACGTAAACCTGCCTACAGTGTTTCCCAGACCCTATGAAACGGTGGCACCGAATCGCCATTTCATCAGAAGCTCTAGCGGTCAGAAAATGGTAGAAATTTTCCTTCGCGTGGGCTTCGCACCGTGATGTTTCCGGTTGAGTGCTTATGTCGTGATCGCTCAATTTTTATCGCACTTTAATTTTATTACTCATCAACCAAAAATGCTAGTCTACCCCTACCAGACTGTGGCTGGCAATAGGTAGGATTGGAGGTGTGTCAGGTCATTAGATATTTTTATTGAGTCATTTTTTAAGTAGTAGTCCACCAACCTTAAAAGGATACTATCGAGTCAGAAGTTTGAATTTAGTTGTTAAGCAAGGTCTTCTTGTTCTCCAATTAAACAGTGAATTTCGAACCAAACTGCACTTAACAAAATTCGCCTGCAATGCTTTATGGCATTTCGACAGTTCCCTTCACTTTTCAAGCTGTTATCACGAATTCTCATTCGTTTTTTGTTCGTTTCCCTTCAGTTACGCTGTAAGCGTTATCTGGGAGCTAGATCCGGACAATTTGGAGGTTCTGGACGTGTGGTACGGACGCACGGTAATCCGCTCCTCCTACAAGATGACTTACGAGGCCGCACAGACTATCGCGGACGTGAAGGACGTAGGCACAGGGGTTACTCCGGATGCTGAGAAAATTCTTACTGGCCTGGGAGGCGAAAAGGCGGTTGGTGAACTCGTTCCTGAGTTGTCTAACGTACAGAGGGTAAGCAAAATGAACTAAGGCATTTAAGGATTCCTGCTTTAGACTATTCAACATGACCCTCTGAAGGTCCAAGCTTGGTCTTCCTGGTTTGTTGAAGAAATGTAACCCTCATTGAAATTGGTGTTTTTTTGGAACATGGCACTTTGAGACGATCTAGGTTGCTAGGTTTGCGAATTACTGCTTGACAAAGGCCTGTGTTAAGTCCTTGCACGTTGAGGTAATGTCACTGACCAGGGTTATCGCGAAGGGATTTCAAATCATCCTCCGAATCGCCTTGACATCCTCCCAGCAAGCGTCAATTTTCGTCTTGCTTAATGTCACTAACGATCGTACCTATGGTAGCATTGACAGGAACATTATCATTAATTTAACGTTTTTGTGAATGCTACGTTAACGATTTTGTATTATCGCTAAAAGTTCCACGCACGAGATCTTTCCTTGTATGTAGGGTCTTGAGTCTTATGTGGTTGGATGCGAAAATCCACCATCCAAAAATACCAGTCGCTACATCAATCACTTATGCCACTGAACCTTTCAACACCCTGTTTGCCCCTTCTGTAAATTGATAAGTGATGATTAGTGTGAGCAGAAGACTGTTCACTTTCTCCCTTCGGACATGTGATATGTGTGCATTGTACTTTTCGTCCTTGAAAATTAATAAGAATCGTCTGTAGCAAATCCAAGAATTGTACGTAATTCGGAGGGAAATGAGTTGTTCCCAACAAACGTGTGCTCACTGAATCTTTTTAATTCCTAACTTCCGATAACCTTGTTTTTTTGCACGGAATTTTGGCGGGAATAACGTGGTTTGAACCTCGGTAAACGTGGTGTAGTTCGCTTCAATTTATGCAGCCTTCAACTTTTAACTAAAAACATTTTCGATCACATTTAGGCTGAAGCTGTTTGGTTGTTCTTTAATGAATGTACGAGCTTTGCTGTTACACAACATTTTTAACTTGCTTTCATCTACTAACTTCTCCAATGCAACTCTCTTTCTACAAGTCAAAACTTATTTTTGCGTTGTTTTTGGCTTGAAACACAAATGAGTGTGACTTGAAATGTCCTGGCACCTACTCTCATGGCCACCATCTAACGTATGATTTTGCTAGAGTTTATCACTCAACATTAAAAGCATCTTTGAGGAGTTGATCTCACCCCATCAAGCAAGTTTTCAACCTCTGTTAACAATGTAGTTGGTGTGAAATACCCATTATTTCTTTTCATTGTGGTTCTGTGGGTTCGCAGAAGTCCTGTGAAAACTCGCCACCGGGCACTGGTTGTCAAGCTCTTTTTCTGTAAAATTTCTACAATTAAGCCCGTGTGCACGGTTTGTTCGTTCAGGACCAACTTCTTGCCCGACTGGCGGAGCTCCACACAGCCATCACGATGCTCGTGGACATCGCCTCGCGCATCCGCTTTCTCCGACTCGACCGCGGAGGTCTAGAACTCGACTCCGTGGAGGTGTCGGTGCGCTTCGAGAACCCCGAGCAGCGAACCGGCGCGCTGGAGGATATCGTGCCGAAAGAGCATCTTGAGATGCACTCGACAGTTGCGGAACTGATGATTTTCGCGAACCACTGGGTCGCCAGACACTGTCTCAAGGCGTTTCCCGACCGCTCCTGTCTCCGTCGACATCCGGCGCCTCGACCTGAGTTCTTCGAGGACCTCAAGCGCTGTGCGGCCTCACGGGGTTTTCAGCTGCAAGTCGATTCTAACAAGTCCTTGTCGGCTTCACTGGCCAAATGCGTGGATAGCAATGACCCCGAGGTACGTTGCTGGGTTTTTGCGCCACATACTGTGCTTGTGTTGCCAAAGTTATCGTTAATCTGGCGGAAATGGCTGTGTTTAAGTGGGCAAACATGTACTTTTGAATTCATGTACGGCTTTTACGCGGTGACAATACTCTGGTTTTTTTAGGTAAACAATTTGCTGAGGCAATTGGCGACACGAGCAATGACCAATGCACTCTACTTTTCAACGGGCTCAGAGGACCTGACTCGGGATCTCTTCGGGCACTACGGGCTTGCGCTTAATTTGTACACACACTTCACGTCCCCCATCCGGCGATACGCTGACATCATTGTGAGTAGTTGTTTTTCCGTGTTTTGCGGCGCCTAACTACGCTAACGTAGCACCTGAACTGATGAGCCGATCGGGTAGGCTAGGTGGTCAAGTATTCACGAATTGTGTACGCAAATGGAACTTTTGTTTGCCACAGTGAACGTTTGTTTAAGTTCAGGACTCTCGACGCAAGTTGCGACTAGGCGTTGATGAATTTACCTCTCACTTAAGGTTCATCGGGTGCTGATGGCGGCAATTGAGAAGACGACGACGTCGTCGTCTGCGGCGTCGGACTGCCTGTACGAGCACGAAGAACTCTCGGCCATTTGTCGGCACATGAACGAGCGTCACTGGGCAGCTCAGCAGGCTCAGCGCAGCTCCATCGAGCTCTTCCAGGCCCTCTTCTTCCGTGACAAGCCCGCTGACGACGTCTGCCGATATACCGACGCCGTCATCTGCCAACTAAGGGGTTCCAATGGATTCTCCGTTGTGATTCCAAGGTTGTTTTTCCCTGTCCGTCTTTCTCCTCTGGCCAATTAAATCATACGGTTCTTTGCTTTTTTGTGTATATTTTTTAAACGTTTCTGGACTATAATTAGGTAAAAGGAAGCTCTCATTCACAAGCTGCTGCATTAGCATTCTCTTTGATTTCAAATTACACTTAAATGGCCCCCTTCCTCCCAACATCTACTGTTTTCTGTGATTCAACTTCCTGAAAATTAAACCTTTCTTTAATGCTAAACAGTACCTCCTGCAAAATTGTAGGTTGGCCGTTATGTTGGAATTTTGAGGGAAATTTAGGCTTCTCCTTATCCTTTTTGCACCAATCAAAAACGTGTATGTCTGCCTAAACTGCGTTTACTGCTTTGGTTTGCTGAGCCATGCGGTTTGTTCTGCTTTTCCAGATACGGAATCCGGGGTAACGTGTGCCTCAAACAACCCGATGGACGAATCGCGTGGGTTTCGGATGCACAGAAGGGAACGGTTACCTGGCTGCCTCCAGACGCCACCTGTGAGGTAGTCACCGTGCATATCCACAATGATATCACACCTTGCAAACGCACCCATCTGATGCGAATTTGTAATTGGCCTGTCTGATTTGTGTTGGCTTTTACAATGCCTGTTTGCTGTTTGCTGTCTTTGCTGTACTGTCGACCTTACCAAACGCCCGAACCAGTCAATGTTCAGATTCTGGCTGGTCTTGTCGTACCTTTCGCCTTGAAACCCACATCTTCCTGGGGTGGTTGTAGGTTATACGCAGTGCAGCGTCGTCTCCTGCAGCAGATTTGCAGTCGCCTGCCCTAAATTGTGACAAACTAGAAGTGGTGATGCGTCAGGCAGACGGCACCGAGTCTCGCCAGACCTACCAGGTCTTCGATCACGTAACTGTTCACATCACTGTTGCCGAGTCCACTGCGCACAGTCTGGGCCTGCGTCTGGAATTGCACGCGAGGGCGACCACGAAGGCTCCACGTAACCCCCAAACCGACCAGAGAAGTAAAGGGGACGAACTCAAATTGCGATCGGACGCAGAAATGATTGAGGTTAGTTGCCATTATTATTTTTTGCCTTACCAGTTTATCGGGACATTGGAATTTGTCTAATTGCTGGGTTTCTTCTGGTAGCAAATGCTCGAGTTGCCTTTCCATGGAAGCTTTCTCAATTTCAGGTTTAAAAAAACTGATTAGTAGCCCCAAAAGTGTTTTTGTGGTTCTTTTGGGCCATTTTTATGTTCAAGTTCTCCAATATTTATGTTAGTGCTCAAAATGCATTACCAAATCAGCAAAACCAATGACAATCCGAGTATTCTTAGTTCTCATCGTGTTGCACCTTATTTCAGAGCGTGAAGGCCATGAACGCGGATAGGAAGAGAAAGCTGAGGCAGACTGCTGCTGGTGGTGGTGGCGGTAAGGCGGGAGAAGACGAGGACCCGGGGCAAACGATCCTCGCAAAGTGCGGCAACTTCGACGAGGAATACCCCGACGAGAAGGCGATAAACGAGCTGGATGCGGTCATTGCCAACCTGCACACGCCCTCGTCGTTTTACCACATGTTTCGAAAAGTTATTAGTCGCGATGACGAAGGTCAATAAAGGCCCTGTGTTTTTCTAAACTGCAACCTTGTTTTTGTGCTTTGTTGACTTTGTGGGGGTATTTGTGTATTATAAATCTGTGGTGGCTTAGTCATCACCACCTTACAGCCCTCTGGCTAACAGGCGACGGCGGACTCTGCCGTTTATCAGCTTTAAGCCAGCCAAGTGTGTTTTTGTGCGGATGGGCGCGCGTGCATAACAAGCAACCTATACTACTAATCAATAAAAGTAGGGATGGGTCATTGAAATCAATAATCCTGTAGACATGCTTCACTCACACGCAATTACTGACAATCCGCTACAAACCTGAGCTTATAAGACTCGTGGAAGCGGCCCACATCTATTGCTTAAACTGACTCAGTCATGGTAACGGAATGATTGGTTCAGGTGATTGGGCTTGTATTCCCACATCTGAGACGTGTGGATGGGCTGGCGTAGGAGGCAGGAAGGTCCTCGTCTGGTTAACCGCTTGGTCCTCTAAGTGCATACCAACTGTCACGGTCTGTGCTTCACCGCAAAAGACTTTTTCTTCAAACGAAAGTTCAGCTAGTGTGATGGAGTCGAGTCATGTTAGATCGAGTTTCGGATATTCAATTGTTTGAGGAAATGTGTGTTTGAAGACTCAGAGAGCTGACATGCAGTGTCGTGTTGGGTGCGGTAATTAGTCTCCCAAAACATAGGATTGGGAACATCCGCGCGGTGTTTTTAATGAAAACACCTATATTTTTGGAACTAGCCAGGTGTGGTTGACCGCCTTCTAAAAAGACTGATAATTCGTCGTCTCGAATGCAGCAACTTCAAATTTGGCCGGTAAAAGGCCGGCCTTTTCTAAAAAAGGAGTTCAGCACAAGGTCGAGTAGTGATGCTGTCAAACCCACCATGCAAGAAGGAAGGGAGCAGACGTGTGGAGATTCGTAGCGGGTATACTATCAGAGCGTTGACCAACTCAGGCGTCGGTCACGAATGACATTCACAGGTGCCCGTAAATATCGACAAACGAATAACGTGTTAGAACATCTTATGCGAGCACTTCAGTGGCAACCAAGACGGTGCCAAAGCTAAGGCAGCAAGGTAACTTTAAGAAAGGCCTATAGATCTGCATCAATATGAAGGCGTTAGGAGGTATTGGGGCGTCTAAATCCCAGGAGCTGGTTGAAAATCACTACATTTATTCTCTGGTGAAGGGTGGGTAGAAAATTCAAGTGTTATTTCAAACCAGCGTACTTAAGTAAAATCCCAATTGCGCCCACTAATCCATGTCGATAAATATCCTTTCTTAGGCAACAAATTATTTTCTTTTGCATTTCGGTGCTTGAGAAGTTTAGATGAGTAAAAATACGAGCGTTTACATGCTGTTTCCTCAATACTTGTCGCAAATTTGATGAGGTGGTTTAATTCATGAGTAGCTTCAAAATGTAAACGGATCTGCAGGTATTACTTAAAAAAGGGTGCTTTAGCATTTCTGAAGTCCTAACAGTAGATGTAACTACCAACTGGACATTTCTAGCCTATTATCTGTGAAAAGGGAACATTCTGGTCCCAAAAATCCAAATTTCTGACATAAAAAGATTTGTTGCTTTGGAAAATGAATTGGAGGCAGCTGGAGTCTGGGGTGTGTGCTTGCTCCCTTTCTAGTTCTCGGTACAGGAGAAGTGCCTTCAATTTACCTCGCATGCAATGCCGTCTTTCTGGAATTTGCATTTCTGAAATCAGCCTCAGGAAGCTCTATATTTTAGGAAACCTGTCAGTTAAATCCTTTAGAATTTGTGGTCTTATTATAACTGGAGTCATATTATCGACAGAGCCTCATAAATGGGTACCCATCTCACTCGGAATTGTATTCCTCGGGGCTTTAGCATGCACATCATTTCTAGGTGTGATTGCACAACCAGAAAATCCGACATTATTCTGGTAATGACACCGCAACTTCCTGCAGCCTCTCTCTGCGCATTTACCAATGAATACCTAACAGCCCCGATGCACCGAAAATTCCTTGAAAAGGACACGCCTGTGTACAATTCAGTAGCACAGTCGTGAATCTTGGCTCTTTAGCAAATAACATACCAAAGAGACCTCGCGTGACAACTAATGTGTGTGCAGGTCAAAAGGCAGAATCCCCCTCATTAATGACGTGGTTATCATTTGGCCCGAGTCTGGTAGCTGGAACAGGACAAAAGCAGGGAAGTGTATGATTCTGGATTCGTAAGGTTTTTATTGACAGTAAAAAGCCTAGCTGCATCCGATGAAGGTTTTGCACGGTGGCACGGTTCAACGTCGTCTGGGTGGGTTACTTCTTAGGATTGATGATTCCTTCCAGTTGCGTCTAAGGAAACAGCCAGAGGTTAGTCTGATACCTCGAAAGAACATTGTGCACTGCAACCTACGACTTTCGATGGATACCTCAAAGAATGCCTATCTTATTTTCAAATACACGAAGTTTTCATCTTAAATTTGTCAGAGTAAATGTTTATCATCAGTTCGAGAAGGTAGCTTGTTAGTAGTAGATGAGAAAAGTAGAATTGTTTCGTTTACGAAGACGAAATTAGCAATATTTTTGAATTAAATCCATCTTAATTGCGCTAATTTTGGGTTTTTGCTGACACCATTATTTCGAAGTTCTTAATTTTATATCCAAAACTGGTTAAATGCTCAATTTTTGCTGTTAAAAACATCACCCTTGGTTTGCGAAATTCGTCTTAATTGATAAATACAAAAATAAATTTTACCACGCATGTTGTTCTCAGTAGTACTTCTGCTCACCTAATGCTCCATTAATGCTCAAAATGACTTTAGCAAGAAAAATTTGCTTTATTAATTGATACGACTATCAATAAAATAATCATGTAGCAACTAACAACTTTCGTATTATAATTATAGTTCTCACAACTTATGCGAAAATTGCGAAAGAAAAAGTGCTTTTATTTTCAAACACTGTAACCTGGAAACTTTTGTCCACATTTTACCAGAATTTACCAGTTAGACGATGGAAGATTCTGTCAGGTTGTGTTCATTATCATTTAAAGCGTTGCACAAACCCAAAATACTTTCCCAATTATTAATGGACACACCTGAAACATGTTTCACAATTAGGGGGGTTTGCAGTTACTCACCTTAAGTTGTTGGTTATTTCGTTTTAGGAATTGGATTTCGTCCTGATGCTTCTTCTCCTCCACCTGCCTCTGTTCAGCTGCTCGTTTTTCAATTTGCTCACACTTTGCCTTAAGTTCGTTTACCTGTCTTTCTAAATCGCGTTTGTGTGCTTCCAATTCCAAAATCTACATCAGGAGGTAAAAATTCTGGCTGACTGATTGGCCTAGCATTCAAAGACTAAACAAGCAACGAAGGCAGCTTGCGTAGCATTTAGGGTTTACTTTTTTTCAATTACATTAACTGAGAACCTTAGTGCATTTAAAAGAGAAAATTCGTCAGTTTATCAGATCATGGTGATTTCAGACAAAGTAAATACAGTTTTAAAGGGCTAAACTTATAAAAAGTAACTTGATGTTGGTTAAATGACTCCGCCATTTTTGAAGTTACTTCTAGGGTTTGTCGCATATAGCTGACAAAACACATGAAACACTGGAATGAACTAAGTAAATATTTCTCAAAGCTGCGCAACAAAGTGAGATGGCCATGTTTTCGGGTTTTTTTGGATTCAACACGAGAAATCTTTCATTAGAGTCAAAAATGATGGTTGTTCCTTTTGCTTGTATGTATTTGCGTTACTGTTTGATTGATTTCAGGGACGATGTCTGCCACAAGTGTGCAAAAGGCAATGCATTTGGAAGGTCTGTCGACTGACACCAAGACAAAAAAGATTCACAATATAATCCCCCTTAAGAAATTGTTTGTTATAATCCACACGCCATTTTCAAGTAAATTGTAATATGTAAAATTCTTTCATTGATTAAATTTTGCACCCATTGTAGTCTGATTCACTTTTTACAGTAAATCTTTTTTTAAATTAGGAAACGATTTGGCAAAACGAAAGCACCGTTGCTTTTAAATATACCTTAATAAAGTACAATTTAAATAGAACAAAATTTATTCTAGACCCGACCATTCCATAAACTAGTTTGTTAAAATTTTATAAAACTTTTGGGTTTTCAGGAGTGCAAAATGGTTCTTACGTTGCTTACTTAGGTTGTTTCAAAAACCTAGTTAAATTGAAACAGAAAATGCTACTAGGTTGAGCATTTTAAAGCCGCAAATTCTAGCTAAACACGCAGTGCTCTAAACATGTTAACTACTTTCCAACGTGGCAGAAAAAAGAAGGCATTACCTTTTTGTCTAGTTCAGCTTTTCCCTGTTCTGCTTGCAAGGCCTTACGCATTCCAAATGCAACGCTTGACTCATAAAGAGTTTGATAGGCGGCAATCGTCATTCGTATTTCATCTCTTACACGCAAAAGTAGAAGACCCCTTTCAGTACAATTAATTGTTACTTGGCGGATGAGCTCATCGAAGACTTGTGAGTACAACTCCCTTCGAACAGGACAAATACCAGTTTCCCTAGCTTGACGCTGCTGAAGGCGGCGGTCTAATTCTTCTTGCAAATTAACAACGTCAAGTCGTGTTGCGGGTGTACTTGAAACCTGTTGAATCCATAACTGATTATTTTCTGTCCATTCACTGATTAGGTTACCAAACTTCCTTGTCAACTTACCGTGGTGGTAAAATAGAATTTAAGATTTCATCGGTCTGCTGGGATGCTTTAGTTTCACACGGATCTTTATCGCAAGGTTTAAAACCAGAAGATGGCAAAGGCCCAGTTTCTTTAGTTGCCTTCCTTACGGTTTTAATTGCAGGTACCTAACTGAATAAATAATTAAATGGCATTCTACATTTGAATTTCTGCAATCAATGTTCTTTGTCACAAGAACTGGTACGTCATATTTAACCAATGAAACATTGGGGGGAAACATCACTTTTGTAAAATCGGATTGTTTCGTATCTAGGCAAGCGAACCTGTTGGTAAACTAAAACACAATTAGTACAGTGACATTATAATTACATTTTGGTGCTTTATGAAGTAAAATAGCATCAGAAAATTACTAAAAAATATTTTAAGCCTAAAAACTAATTTTAATTGGAAAGCAGCTTCTCATCAGCAGATGAATTTATTGTCTGAATTTTTAATATTATATCTGTGTTTGATATAAACTAGTGAGCACAATTTAATTTGAACAACATTAATTTTAAATAAATATGTGCAAATCATCTAATGACTGCCTAGATTTTCCTTAATATTGCTTGTTTGTTGTTAATTGTTCATTGGCATTCTATTTTATTTTATATCAATTGCATTGATATAATTTAGTTCCAACATTCTATTCCACTATAAACCCACTTTACCACTTTAATGCCACTTCATGACATAGTAAATCAATCATAGTACGAGTTTACTCTAAAAGCAGAAGTTTGTTTTAACTTCAAAAGGACATTCACAATCACTATACACGTAACGAGCGAGCGAACACCGATATCATGGAGACATAGACTTGTGTTTTATTAAACAAAATATGTAGTTTCGAAAATGCTCGATTCGAACCCTCCGAACGTTCTCAAATTAGCTAATTTGAAACCATAAATTAGATTGATTCTTCCCTCTTTAACACTTATAAGGAGCATTTTAAGAGGTTTTGTGCTATTCATTGATCACTTCCAACTCCTACATTTTATACGCTTTCTAAACTTGGTACCTACTTAATAAGGTCGATAAATATCAAGAATTTCTATTTGTAGTAAGACAACACATGACATTCTATTATAGACTTTTTATTTCCAAATAATATTATCGAAAGTCTAGCCTGTACTTACAATTTATAAGGCAAAGAAATCAAAGTATCTTACAACAGATATACTTTAGGGTTAATATGATGAATTTGACCTCTACGACATATGTTAAATTTATGCGTTGCAAGAAAGCACTTAGGACAAATTGTGCATGCTGCATATAAACAAATCTTAATCTTTTGATTTTATTGACTACGGCATTTGTCATTTTATGAGATCCGGTGAAACAGCCAAAATTGTGACACAGGAAGCAAACTAATTTAATTTTTTATAAAATCTGTAATCTTAGTGGATGACTAGGAAAAGTGTATTAAGTGCTGATTCAGGCTAGGAAAAAGTCATTAGTCGGCTATTTACTTTGCAAAGCTCAGTATAATCTATAAATACCATTAACTCCCTGCTTCACTTGGTAATGCCGTCTGAAAGAGGCAATTGGATAATTTTAGCACTCGTTTAGAACCAAATTTTATAAGAGTAATAGTTTTTCAGAAATTTTTTTTATCAATTGTTATTTTTAGTAAACCATTTTATAAACTGCTTAATGTGTAAACTTGTATGTGAATTGTCTGTTTAAAGTAGCGTGTGCAATGCAAGGCCTAACAGCTGGATACATGTTTGCTATATTAACGTAATACATGTTTTAGATTATGTTGCAAATGTGGAGCCTCAATTCATTCCAACCCCACAAATATGTGTGAGGCCTGCCTTGCATCTGAATGTGACATCACTGCAGATATACCCAAACAGCATACAATTACTTTCTGTCCAAAGTGTTCTAGGTAGACTATATTCGTTTCATAATGTACAAGGTTCCTTAATCCACCATCTCAATGGGTGCTAGCGCCTCTGGAATCCCCCGAGTTACTCTCGATTTGTCTCAAGAGGGTCAAAGGCCTTGGGAAGAATAATAAATTGAAGGAAGCTTCCTTTATCTATACCGAACCTCACTCTCGGAGACTAATTATTCAGGTAGCTTCCACTCGAGGTTTGTTATTTTATCCACAGTTTCAAGCCTGACCGCGCGTCTTTTTTTAATTTTTCAGATTATTATTCGTGGTGAGATATGCGTAAACACTGTCGTTGAACAGAAGGCCCTTTTGCACTTTGTCATGCACCCGCAACAGTGTTCTGACTGCACAAGGAACGAAGCGAAGGATTACTGGAATGCTTGTGTCCAGATCAGACAGAAGGTTTATATGCCTTTTGTGTAATCTTTGTACATTAAAGGTGGATCATAAACGAACTCTTTATTATTTGGAACAACTGCTTCTTCGTAAAAGTGCTCCCCGCAAATACTCCAGCGTTAAACAAGCCAAAGGTATGCAGTATGTTTTTGATATCACTAAATTAACTAAATTATTGCAAAGTAATATCATCTTAGCTCTTCTATGAACATTTTTATTGGGAAATTTCTATAATTAGCGAATATATTTGGTGTCTTGTCAAACTTTTATCGGGTAGAAATTTTTTACATGTTTTAAGGCAATTGATCAATCTTTAGTATGCAACCAACTTTATGACATGTGGTCATTTTTTGTTTAATACCACGTAAGCTCCTTGCTAAATCTTTTGTCGGCATTAGTCTTAATAATACGATATTAATGCAATCTGCATATAAAATGTTTTGTAGTAGTTTTGTAAATGTCAATTTTTAGACATAAATCCTTTTATCTAGATAAAATTTAATAGCAACATGGTCCAAGTTTTTAATAAAAATTTTTAATTCCCGTTCTCTAAATGGCTTAGTGTTGTTTTTGCAGTTGTGCTTTGCTCGTTCCATTTTTCTCGAAAACACTGTGCAATTTTTAGTGGCCTCTGCGTCTAAAGTTTAATTCATATTTGACCAATATAATGAAGAGTAGTAACTAGAAGGGAGAATTTTGGATTTTTCTAATAGTCATCTGTGTCAATAATTTCTGGTGCTTTTTGCCCAAAAGTACGTTCTCTCAGAATTAAGTACTCGTTCTTTCCGTCCTACCTGCTAATTGCCTCCAGGAGTCAGATTTTTAAGTATTAAAATTATTGGACCTTTACAACTGGTTGTTGCGGTTTTTGTTTGCTCTCAATTCCGCAGGTAGGTGTTGGGCTATCTTACTCTTGCATGTTTTTTTTCCAAACACCTGTATGCCTTCGTTTTAAATGTGTGAATTCCCCCAGGTGGCATGGATTTCTTCTTTTCGTCGCGCGCTAATGCAGTCGCCTTTGTGGAGTACGTCAGCAAGCTGATTCCTTGTCGCACAAACACCTCCCAACAGCTGAAGTCCCAGGACGTGCACAGCAACACCTATAACTACAAGTACACCTTCTGTCTAGATGTTGTACCTGTCTGTAAAGTAGGCTCGCTTTCGTATTTCTGCCTGCTTTCACATTACAAACTAGTTACGCACTTTATTTGTTGTAGAATGATGTTGTCTGCCTAACGAAACATTTTGCGTCCAGACTCGGATTTGCTAACCAGGTCCTTATCGTCGTAAAGATCACCGATAAAGTTCGATTATTGGATCCAGTGTCCTGCTTAAGTGAGTCAGTTTCATTTTCGGTTTGCTGATGTTATTGAATTTCCAGTGCGTCTACCAAGTTGTCTGTGTGTGTCTTTTTGCCCTTTGGTAGCATGTCAACTGTAATCTTAAGGGTACACTAAACTGTAATTCCCAATCAATTAGGAACAAATCAACTTTTAAATGCGATTTTCTGCTATGCGCTTACCCTATATTTTGGGAGATATTCAGCCGTAATTTCGTTGATGTTCATTATCACATGTTGTGGTTCGTTTCTCTCGTTTCAATTCCAGCTCGCGACGTTGATGTCCAGACCTACTACGCTAATCCTTTCACTGCCATTTCAAACAGCCGTAATGTGATGGAGTTCTTTGTCATGGATGTTGAGGCTGATGACTGCCACACTAACGAAAGATCCGTCTCCTCTGTGGACCCCTCGGTTGGGGCGTTGAAGCCGGCAGGCGCGTGGGTGGTACCATCCGCCCACCTGGGCGCTGAAGGGGATGAGGGTGAACAGGTTTACGTAAGAACGCATCTTGGAAATATCCTCAAAATCGGTGATTCTGTTATTGGGTATGTTCGCACTTTTACTCCCGTGTATTATGCAAATTTCGCAGAGTCAAGTTACCTGGTAGTTCACCGTACTTTGAAACCAAATCGCAATGGCTTGCTTTTTGGTACTTGACGTAGTCTCATTGAGACGTTGAATATCACATGCTCCCAGTCTGACTTTACAACTAATCTTGACAGGATTTAGAGTTTCAAGTCTTGTATCCAAAAAGTTCACTGAGGTTCCCATTTAGTTCTGTAGCACGTGGACTCCAATAGTTTCCGTTCTTGATCATCCGGTTCTTGCAGAATTGTTTTGCGCATTAGCTACTATTTGTGCAGTTAAAGTTATTGCTTGCTTAAGTGTTCTCAGGCGTTTGCGAATATTCCAATTGTGGGTTATTGAAAACGATAGTATCGCGCTTAAAAATTACTGTTCCAGGTCGTGGGACGAAGTGTAGTTACCGTAACTGATGTTGCTGCTGCACGATATAACCCACGGTACCTTAGGAAGAATTAGACAGGAAGGAGATGCTCTTTTATGCCCCCTTTCCTTACTGTTTTTCAGTCTTGATCTAAGGAATGCCAACGTAAACCACTCAGATTTTGAGGCCATTCCTGAGGAGAAAAGACCTCTAGTTGTCCTAATTCAGCGCATGTGTAATTCCACAACAAGGCAGAGACGACACCGACGACGTTTATGCTCCAATGGTGAAACGTTTTCTGAAATTGCAGCTACCTCGTCTGTAGATATGCAGTCCGATGCTGAAAAAAAACATGAGTACAATTCTGACCTATCAGACGACGAATATGTCGACGCCGAAGAAGGTGTGTGAATGATTTATTAGGACGCTATACATCTTTACGATAGTAGACGTGCTTTAATTTTTCTGTTCTCTTTTTTAGAAGTGACTATCGGTGAACAAATGGAGACCGACGAATAACCACGTTTATTAATTTATCTCAAGATTTGTCCAAATACATTCTTTACCAGTTTTCGTGATTTTTGGTGCCCATTTGCGTGCTAGTTGACAGTCTCTGGGGATAATTAAGTCACTTCTGCTGGCACTCTCACTGCGGTGACCTCAGATGACATGTAGAAAATTAGCTCGACAGGAGCCTTCTGACAAAATACAGTAGGTCTGTTTAAATATTTGTGATGAATCGCGGATTCCTCTCTGTTTGTGGTGATATGTAAAAATTGAATTCACTGATGAAGGAGGACCACTAGGCAGTCCTCCGTAAAAAGCCTTTCCGAAACAAAACCAGTCGCAAATTTGTCGCAGAAAATGGTATTGATATCAGCGCAAATTTCACATCACATGCCGAATTCGCATTCTAGTATGTTTTTAAGGAGTTAAAATTTCAAATTCAATTTAAAAAAAAATAATTGCTCTGAAGAGAAATATGCAGTCCATATTTCCTTGCAAAACATTAGGCTAAAGCAATAATAAGAAAGTGAACATAGGATACAGCCACTCAATTCATCAAACTAGCAATGCTTTCTAGTTCCTTGCAGCACTTTACGCAGTAAAAAAATTATTTTAAAAGTTAATTTATAGAAAACATAACTAAATTGCTTTTCTGAAATATTACTGGAACATTTTCAATGAAAATATAAAAATTTAAATCGAATGTGATTTATCAACGTTGTATTTTAAAAATGATAAAAATATTTTCAGATTTTATTGGTTTTCAAACCTGGGGAAAATATGTAATTTTTTTTGAGAATTTGCGTTTTTATTCAGGTTAATCTAACTGCGACTAAGACACAGTCACCGCGCTTTTTGATGTAGTGTGCCGTGCGGGATTCTTACTAGTCTTAGAATTATCATGTCAAGTCAGGTTATGACAACGGAAGCATCCGTTACCACAACGTCACAATCAAACACTCAACCTGTAGGTTCAGCTTGTATTTGAGAGCTTTTGTTGTTAAACATCAGTTTTATTTGCGCAAGTTTTTGATTGAAATGTCGGAAAATTTCAAGGAAACCTGCGTGAATGTTTTGTCCGTTCCAGTTATTTGTCCTACTTATTTGTTATCGGTCAGTTAGGCTTTTTGCTGTATGTTATCCCTTCCAATGTGACTAGGGAGATTCAAATTAATCCCAGTTTCATCAGAAAAGGACGGATTTTGTCATTTAAATGAATTTTAGTACTTTTTGGTGCAAATTACGTTTTTTACTGGCACTAAACTGATTTGACTAATGCAATAGCACTTGGTCTTTTTTGAGTTTTCTTAGGTTAGTGTTTATGTAGCTTTTTGTTATGCTGTGTTATTATTGCTGATTAAATTTTGATCGCAAATTAAGTTTTCTAAATTAACATTGCTTTATATGTTTTTGGATTTGTGCTACTTTAGGCATTGGTTCTACGGGGACATGCAGGTGATGGAACAGTTGCGGACTCTGGTCCGCTGACTTTTGCACAAGGCCGTCAGCATGTAATCCACTGGGCTCCGGGTACAGTTGACAACGAATTCATGGGCAAGAAAAAGTCCAAATGTTGCTGCATTTACGAAAAACCACGCGAATGGGACGACCCGTCTTCGTCTTCCAGTTCATCAGATTCAGATGACGATGACTCGGGTCCTAGCAAACCGAAAAAGTGTACTGAACATTGTCGCGGCCACACTAAGCATTGCTTCACTAAAAAAGCTGCTGCCAAGCAGCGGGCTGCTCAGTCGACCACCTCACAAGTGGAACAAGAACAGCCACCTCGGCCGCCTTCTCCACCTCGTCAACCCGACCAAAATGTCTAGTTTATTTCTTTTTTGCTGTACGTATGGGCAACTACTACTTCAAGTGTTGCCTTCATCCTTTTAAAAAAGACCAATTTTTCACCACATACCGATTCTTAGTTGAAGATCTCTCCTCTGTTAATTTAATTTTTTCCATTATCAACTTGTTTTTAAGGGGTACAGTGCAGACTCTCTACCCGGTCTTGCCTTCGTGCACTTGTTTGATAGTCATAATCCGTGGGGATTTTTGGGAACACAAAGTCACTTAACGCAGTAAGTATAGGTTTTAAAAAGGATGGGACTGCCTAATGTAGATAAGTAGGAATTGCTGTAAAGATATATTCCACATGGCAAGCATGAACTCTCATTTCCATCAACGGGGTGGTGTATGTTAGCGTGTTTATACTCTATTTTTTGGGGGAATATTCGGTGAGGATCTCAAAGAGAACTCCCATTTTAGGGGGAGACAGCTATGCCATGCAATTCGGATGTATTTATATCAGTTCCAACACTTTAGAAATTGAGGCTCGAGAGCGTGAGCAGTGAAGGGAAAAACTGGACTGAGTATGTACAGCGCACGGTGAGTGGTAATTAGCGATTGAAACTACCGGGCAATAAACAAGGCTTCAAGGCAGGCTACAGACCAAAGACTGCTTAGTGTGTTGAGGTATCGGATGAAAAGACTTGAAACAGTCGTTTGCAATCTCAAATAGGGGATTGTGTACAGGATTACCGAGAGCGATGAGTTCTTCCAAATATTTTCTGCTACACTTCAGGAGTGATGCATGGTGGACTCCGGTCTCGATACGAAACCGGTTTGTGTAACATCCACAGCACGCTTGTTTTAAGCGCAATCCCCCTTTAGAAGAAACAGTCTCCATCAAAGTCACGCATGGTTTTGTGAACTGAAGGTATAGCGTCACGCTTTATCTGGGACTTATACTGTAAGACGCACAAATCTCGAACCAAGGTATGCGCACGAGAGCAATTTCGAAAGGAACGGAAAGCACCGTTAAACTCATAGCGTTTCTGACCTTAAGGCATTTCCCTCACATGTGTTCAAGATGCAATGCAATGAAATTTGAACTGAAAACAGGCCATTGTGAAATTCACCGCTTTTACTTAGATATAGTGGTATAAAAATAAAAATGACATGTGGGTATGTACAAAAGCGGATGATGACGACGGCGGGAGTTAAGTATTTTCCATTTCGAGAATTGCCTGCAGTGTCTCCATTGTGATTCCCTCGCCACCGTGCAGAACCTAGAGGAAAAAGATGCTTAGGGTCGGCCAAACTTTACGACGATGCAGAGAAGCCACTTGGAAAAGTCTCGGGAATTTCGTGACCACTTGACATCAACTCAATGCCTTGACAAAGTCACACGTCTTAAACCAAACAGGTCAAACGTTGAACCATGAATAGTGAAAGTAAACAGTGCAATCTTGGGTGTGAATGGTATGTAAGTATGATTGTGACGAAAACTGCATTCTAGAACCCGTCGCAACGCCCCAACTACAGGGCTGGTAATACTTTCTAGTAAAATTGAATGTGTGCTCGTTTTAAAACCCTAAGTTTGGTGATGGTTCCTTTATCAGAACATACGCATCCGTGGCTTGTTATGACAAACACTTGGAAGAGCATTGCCGAATGAATTAGGAAATCGAAAGAAGCAATTTGTCAGGTGGGCATTTTAAATTGAAGGAAAAGCGTAGTTGATGACTTCACATAACTACTTTGACAAGAAGACCTACCTGGAACTGCACACCGTTCGGCGTGGTTACGAGGCATGTTGTCGGTGAGACTTCCGAAACGGAGATCTCCGAGGTTACGGGTGCGACAGGGTCTGATTTGACAAGCACCTCCTCAGGAGCCTGGCTGGAGTCAACCCTCTCATCCGTTGGCGGTTGTGCGACGACGCCTTCGGGTGCAGCAGAGACCAACTGGCCTGTGGGGCGGTGGAAAATGCGACCACTGGCAGCTTCCACAGCCAAATCGCTCAAGGCTCCAGATTCCATAAGGACGGGGAGGAACGACCCGGAGGTTATCCAGTCGTCAGGCACCGGGTACCCGAGGCCTTCGGGGTGCAGGTACAGCTAGGACGAGCAAACAACGCCGCATATGACAAACTCGATTAGTATTCCCACGAACCCTTCATTGCTTACGGACTGAATGCTCCAGCAGCATTTACGTAATCAAACAGCTGAATGCACCAATTGAAATTGTTCCCTTCTAATGGGGCATTTTAAGTTGGTTGACGAAAAAAAATTGTTACGCTGTGTGAACTAAACAAGTCCACATCAGAGCACAGGAACACTTTGCCTAGACTTACAGACGAGTTCTCACCGACAATTGCGCTAACTTTCACACTTTCCGTGACCTTCTCTGTTTCTGAAGGTTCAGGCACGAGTGCCTCGCAGTCCGTTTCGTCACATGGCTGATTCTCAGATATGGCTTCTATCAAGTCATTGTGCTCAACAGAGGTGATGACAGCTCGCTTGAGTGCGGGTTCTGCTCTGCGCGATTCGTCTGAGGAGTGATTGTCTGTGGGTGGAGCAGAGGTCACTGGCCGGTATCGCCTGGGGAGGCGGTCATCGGGGAACGGAAGCCGTGGTTTGTACCGACCCATGGGGAGACTCAGTGCGCTGGCCTCCGTCTGACACCGCACCTGCAGCCCACAAGAGCAACAAGTTCCCTTTATTGAATGCTAGATCCACCGCTTAAATAATGACAAACTGGAAGATAATATCTGGTGTGTGACGCAAGGTTTCAGAACACCAAACGGCAAGTCTACGCGAGTTACATAACTTCTTACAACAGCCGAGTTTACCACGGTAACAGACAAGCAGCACATTCGATGGCACAACGCATTTTAAACGATTTCCAACAAAAAAATGTTTCTAAAGCACAGAGCAATCAATGTGTAGTGTTCTCGGCACCGGCGTTGTGCCTTATGAAACGTTTTAGGGGTGGCAATTTCGATCCTAGCGACCAGCCGCGCCCCGAACTGCCTCGAAAGTTTGAAGCTGTGGAATTGCAAGCTCCATTGGATGAGGGCTCAACCCCGACGTAACAAACACTTGCAGCTCAGTTAAGAGTCACTCAAACAGCTATTTCCAAGCCTTTGCACCACAAAATGGGAAATATTCAAAAACTTGGAAATTGAATCCCCCCACATGTGTTAACTGAACACAACCATGGTCAACCAGGTCTTTCACTGCTTGCCAGAAGGCAATAAGCAGTGAATGGACTTCTTGTGGAAAAGTACGATGGGAGATGAAAAGTCCCTCTTCTTGTGAGATTCCCAAATGGACAAAGGTCGTGGGTCGGTCCCGGGCAACCCAATACATCGACGCGGGAACGGGACATTCACTTGAAGAAGGTTCTCCCGTGTGTGTGGTGGCCCATGAAGGGTGTACATTATTACGAGGTCCTAGAAACTACTTGCCAGACGCTGACTGCGGAACAATTGGATAGGTTTGATCAAAGAAGGGCATTTGGTGGGCAAGGAAGAAGGCAAATCATGTTGCTGCTGCATGACAACGCTCTACCACCTCACGTTGCTCACTAGACCTAGCCCCATCCGACTACCAATTGTTCCGGTTAATGTGGCAGCATGACTAAGTGGATAAACCGTTCAAAACGCCGGACAATGTGCCTCGAAGCCTACAAGTTTCTTCCGCGACGGAATGCGAACGCTACCTGAGAGACGGCGCAAGGTAATGGAAAACAATGAACGAAATTCCAAGGATTACGTTCGTTGTTCCCTATTTGTTTCCATGCTAAATAAATTTACTGAAAAATCTATAATAGACTGGATTACAACTAATTAATAACTCCGATTCCTACCTTTTAGCTGCGTTTTCACCCTACTATGCTGATGGCCACACAGTTACCTGAATGACGGCCTCATCACAGTCCCTACCGGTGGTTTGCGGTGCTCCGGCGCGTGAGGTCTCCGTGACAGACATGTTCTCGCTTCCGCTAAGCCGGAGGTGAGTCACAGTTTTTTTCGGGGGATTAGTCAAATCCTTGTCGGGATGTGTGGCTTCCGAGTCATTGTCACGATTTACGTTCCCGTTATTTAACTCTGTGGGGAAAACGCGGGTTTTGAGAAAAATACCAACAGAAAACGATCATAGGCAACTAAAATGTCGCATATTGCGAAAAGTTGGAAATCAAAAACGTCTTCGATGCTGCTAGATTTTCCGTCTTTAGCACCCCCTGGCGAGAAAGTTAACAATAACGATGAGTCCCCTAGGCTCAACTGCCGATAATGACGTCATCACACCCAATACACACACACACATTCTCAAATTTTAGCGCCTAGTGACGAAATTAACACGTTCATTAATCGCAAATAGATCCGACTGGGCAAGAGTTTGCTTCCGATACCTGCTAATTCCTTTTGTCGCCGTAGCCGTTGAAGATAGCGTCGACGTTTTACAGAAGCGGGGGCAGGCTGGCCAGCCAAAATCTCCTCCGCCTCCTGCTCCTGTTTCAAGTCCGCATCACAGGGCTCCTTATCTACCAACTCCAACTGTTTCTCAATGAATTCTCGAAAGGTCGACACGAGTGTAAGGTATTCAAAAACGAGACGTGAGAGTTTGGGAGGGCGAACGGGGGTACGAGCTGCAAATCCAGGGGAGGGATCTTCACTGCGCAGAAACAGATAATCCCACAGTGGCAAAACGTTCGCGACTTTTGGGCCAGCTAAATCAATGAGATCCTCCGGGGTAGCCTTTTCAAGGGCCTTAAAAAATAAAAAGATCACTTTAAGTGGGCAAAACGCCCAACTTAAATAAGCAACTGAACAGGTAGTGACACACAGAGGTCAGATGTAAGCAACTGCAGTCACCTCATGTCTATTTTGCACTGGTTAGATTGATTGCTGTACTTTTAAATCCTCGAAAAACTAGAAACTATGTGGGTTATTGGCTTATTCTTGATTAGTCTGAGACTGGACAGAGCGAACACAAAAAGAAGGGTGAAAAGATCAGGATATATAAGACTACATGAAGATGTACGAAGGACGCGCAGCAGTTGACAACTTAAAGTGGAAGGTATCAATGCCAACTTGTGCACCACGCACTTCACTCAGTCGGTTTCGCCGGCGAATGGCCGATAGCACGGGATCGCTCCAGGGTCCCACGCGTTTAACTTTGCCGTCCGGGTTGTGCTTGAGCATGTTGTGTCGAGAGAGGCCGGCTCGCGAGGCAAAGGACTTTCCACACAGCTGACAGTCGAAACCTCGCGACACTAGAGGAATCGGAAGCAGGGCTTGATATTTGTTTGTTGACATCACACTTGGCACTCAGCACTTATCTACTGTTGAGGTGAACCTCAAATTTAGTTGAAGTAAGCAGGCGTAGAGGGCGCAACATTTTTGCTATACAAAGATGTTTCGTGCAGGTTTGTCTTAATACCTTGTCGTGAAGCCATAGCTCATCCAGCAATTACTTTGTCGAATAGGATAAGTTTGAGGGTATTTCAACTTTAGCCAACCGATTTGAAGCTGTTTCCTTCAGTAATCCGATTTCCGCTGGAAAGTTTGGTGGCCATCTAGCCTAAACCGACAGCATGGATGAGCAACATCTCCGGTAAACAGACTAATTTAGTTACTTGAAGGGACATTGGGACCAAATATTGTCATCACTTGAACTCTCTCGCGAGTGGTCTATGCTAATCAAGAATTTGAAGTTTCACCTAAACACTTTTCTAGCTCGATATCTACCAAACCATCAAATCACTCGACCAAATCTATTAAGTAGGCGAATAATCGTTGTCGACAGGACAATAGTTGACTAGCTCTAAATAATTTAATGTAAATTTTCGAGAAAAAATGTTCTGCTAGCCAGGTTCGCGTCCCCCCGAGGAGAGACGGCAAGCATAGAAGTCAGTGGCACTTTTGAACATTACAAATAAGGCATTCAACATACGAGGTTTCATCGTGGCATTCTCCTCCCCTTCTGAATTTAGGTCGCTGCCGGCATTGTAATCGGAGTATCCAACATTCGAGTCCTCACCGGAACTAACATTGGCGGCGTCTCTGTCCCCCCTGTCCTCATCCTCCTTGAGGTCCTCCAGTCGAAGGTGCTTGTAGTCCTTGATCTGCAGGCGAAAATAAGAAGAATTCATAAAAAGGGCAACTTAGACAGGCAGTACCCAAGTGAAAAACCAATCATAACTTTTTTTCGTTAAAAAGTTCGTGCGCACCTGCTAACTCTATTACCAGAGTAAATTGTAATGGAATACAGTGGAAGAAGCCCTAAGAGCATGGTACCGTGCGAAAATTAGCGGTTCAAGCTTATAAACCAGAGACATAAAAAAATTAAGCTCGAGCAAATAAACCCACAAAATTGCGTGAAAATTTAAGCCACCTGAGCAAAAGCACTCAAGTGAGCGATCAGTACTTTTACTGACTGCTTGGTAAAATTAACTAGTTAACTCATGCTAAGTACTTTTGCGGACTTGAGTAGATTTGCAATTTGGGTTAATTTCAATTAACTGCAGTGGTAGAAGGAAAAATTCGCCTTCCAAGTCTGCAGCTAACTTGACGATCAAAGGCAGGTGCGAAAAATAGTGTATGCATAGTCAACAATATGCTAGGGAGTCCGCAATTTGCTTATAAGATTTTAGCCGAATGTACAAAATATCGCCCCCCTCTTGAACATGTAACATTAAATCCTCGGCTAAAGTGGGCCAAAAAAATTACCAGAGAACTACCAGTGGAAATCACCAGGTGGTTAAAAATTAGCCCAAATAACTGGCACGGCATATTTTCAGTGTTCTAAGTAGCCTCAGAAGTTGAGATTAACCTACTAGATACTTTGGCGGTTTCGAAACTCTTCCGGTGACCAGATTATTGTCCGTTGACTTCGCTGGTGCCCTTTTTCGAACAATGGGGAACGGAAGCACCTCCTCCTCGGGCAGATCAGGCTCGAAATCAGGATCCTCCTCATCTGGCGTCTTCTTCTTTTGCCCAGGACGCCGACCACGCCGTCGTTTTCGCTCGCCTCCGTTTGGTGGAGCAAGGCTATAGTGATCCCGGACTTCACTCAATTCGCCTCCCTGACGCTTTCGTCGACCATGTGTCACTCGAAATACGATGCGCTTATTCGTCAGTCGATTGTAAATAGCCAGAACTTTACCCCCATTCTTACTTTCGTCAACGAGGGCTTGATTGGCGAGTACCTGGACAATCTGATGCAAGTTCGAGTCGGAGACGTCCTGAGTTGTAATGAACTGGCTTCCTTGCTGGATGATGCGAATTGGGTTCTTGTTCGAGCCAACTGGCGCTTCTGGGTCAGCTGCAGGCATGCTTGCCTGAATCTTCTGCACGGCGTCAAGATCGACTGCCTCGACAGCGTTTTCCGACTGCTGCTTGTCATCGAGTGGGGGAATGAACTCAGACGACGGCGACGGTTGATAGTCGGACGAGGGGAACATCTACCTACACGGAATTATAAAAGTGCAAATACAATTAGCAACAGAAATTGTTAAAAAATGAATAGTAGTCTTTAGTTTTAGAAGGTAGTCGGATAAATGGAACGTGCATAAACATGGTGTGGATCAATGAATGTGGAATGTGGAACTAGCGTGTTGTTAGCGTGTGGCAGCAGTCGAATTTACAAGTTGGAATGGTGACACCTGTGACGACCAGCAAGGAAGCACAGTTAGCAAGTGTGAGCGAACACATTTTAATCAATTTACTTTAACGTACTTCACGTAGATATGCTCGGTCAGAGGTCGATTTTAACCGATTTCACTAATTACGATAACTCATTTCTTTGTGCACCCATGCTATTACGTCAACCTAACTACACGTTATTTGAATCTCCCCTCGTCAGTGTAGATCCCGTGGCCCCGAAGTGGTTCTCAAATCACACAGGATGCTTCAACAATTGGTGACCCCCCTCTTGAACACGTCTGGCTTTCTACGAGGTGAAACTTTATGGCTTTTAGAGACGGCTTTGAAAACGATCCGCACCAGGAGATGCAACACATCTTTTGCAATTATAAAAATCTACAGGATAAAGCCTTTGCCAGATGGCACCAGAAAAAAAAGGCTTTTACACTTAAATTTTAACAAAAGCAACACACGAAAGGAATCGGGATCGTCTTGATGCTTTTAAAGCTCAATGAAGAGCAGCGATAATGTCTGCAAGAGCAAGCAGATTAATCTAAAAAAATTGTATGTTTTCAGGCTAGTGAAATACATCTATGGGTCTTTTTTAGCAACTCAACTATATAAATTGATACCAAAATTGTAGCAAGAAAGTGGACGTAATGTTGGAGTGAATATGAAATTACGAATAGCCATAATAAGAATATTAAATATCATCAAGTGCATCGGTACAGCCATTTAATGCATAATAAGTATGGACTGATGACTGATATTGTTGAATAAAAAGTAAATTTAACATGACAAACCGAACCCAGTCAACATCAAGGACAGAATATACACTTGATGGATTTTACGCGCCGGACACCCAGGGATGTATGACATGACAGCAGCACATAGTATCTCAATTACCCTAAGTAAGTGCGACAGGTGATTCATGGATAACAGGTAAAATTCACAGTAAAATGACGAGTAAACAGAGGCTAGTACTTAAAAAAGTGCAAAAAATGCCATGGATAACAAATACACCCTGGTTATTTTTATCAACCTATGGTAACAACACTTCAAATTACATAAGGCTTCTTACTCAATAGAGAGCAATAAAGATCACTATATTAAAACACTATTTCGTGGTAATGAATCTCAAACTTGAGTATTTTAGTAAAAGATACATATAATCTCAAACACGTTCTAGAATCTATAGACTTAAATTACGTTATAATACAAACCCACAAATCTAAAGACAAATTCAACGCAGTAAGTCAAAAAGACCAAGCATGTGGAAAAACATTAAAACAATTCAAATTAGCTTTTCGATAATGATTTTATTGCTACTATGCTGTTTGCACCTAAAACATTTTTGACTTTGAAAATTGCGTATTAACGGACTGCAGCCATGTGACTGAAAGATTCAGTCATAATGAAATTAAATCAGTTAAATTACTTCACTCTTCTGCGTCCACCGAATATTTATCTCTTAAGCTAGTTCTAAACAAATTAATTTGTGAATGCAACGCATAAATAACTGTGTGGTTTAGTTGTGAGACTGTGTTTCTTGTGAAATTAAAAGAGATAATTTATATACGGAAATATAATTACTTTTCAAAAATCAGCATTCTTAGTCAAAATGAATGGATACTGTCGTTTTGTTGCAAAATGTGAAGTAATTTATACTTTCTCGTCTCGCATGAGCACGTCTGTAGTTACAGACACGTTATTCAACTTAATTCTTTCGAACAACTCCTTGGAGATTTAATGTGCTGAAGATGTAGGCTATTTGCGAATAATTGTTCGAACTCAAACTCTAATATAATCGTATGAGAAATGCTCGCATGTCGATAAGAACAATTGGTTTATATCTTTGCATTTTATCACTCATAACATTCAGTCATCTTCCTACGGTTTGCCTGTAACCATAATTTTTCTGAGTCGTTCCAAATGGATTATCCACGTTGTTTTCAGGTTCGTCCGCATTAAATAACGTACTTTCTTTTTACAAATTTTTGGACCATTAGATAAAAGCCTAATTACATGATACTTATTCGTCATTTTCTCTTTTGATCTCTAAAATTTAATCCCTGCATAAGTGAGTGTTTGGTACAGTCATTTCTCAAAATGAATAAATAACGGCCCACACATCACAACGTTTGATGTTTGCTTCGTGGTTACACTTTTTAGCTCATAATTTCAAACATTCTGCTTAAAGATACTGCATGATGCATTGCGTCTGAGAAGTATATTTCTGCTCTTGTGAAGTCCTATAACGAGTCTAACGTCTGTGTGCATATGGTGCGTTCAACAGCCTCTTGCCAATTATGTGAGCCCCTAAATGGCCAGGATCCGATTCGCATCCGGCTTGGTCTAGGTCGGCATTAGAACGCTGAATAATCTCCAGGACCGAATGTGGCACGGCCGATTCTGACACTCGGGTTGTGGTAAGCAACTAACAGCATAAATTAGTCACAACTCTGTGATAGCCTAAGCAGCCTTCTTGGCAGTATACAATACGTCGGAAATGACAAAATGACCCCAAACTACCTTCTACAAACAAACTTACATACAACTTGCCCCTAAAGCTAGGCTAAAATTCACATAAATCCAATTCCAAGAAAAAAAATAGAACTTTGGCTGGAATCTACTAATCAGACGTTGATTCTGTATATTTTTGAGATCTGGAACCACGGTCCTTGTAGTTTTCGTGAACGTTGACGCATCTGCTACAAAAATGTGATACCTACAACAGCAGCTAGAATTTAGAAGCTTCTTGTATCAAAAGAAAATAAAAGAATGAATAGTAAACAAAAAAATTGTTTATTAAGCCGTGACATACACCCAATTCGTAGACCCTGACGTCATAAAACCGTTAGGCAGTCTTATGTGTGCTATCATTAACGAGAAACGTCAGTTAAGAATAAGACGATCACAGCGAACAAGTTTGTAAAAGGTAATTTATTGAGGTCGTCACACAATGATAAGTCCACGTGGCCAACAAATTTGACGAACGGTGAGACAACGGGACAGATCTCCATAACACGGCAAACGTTGGATTTTATTTAGCTGTTTGACTATTACGGGAAATCACACAACCAGCCAGCATGTCAAGAGAATTGCCGTTGGGATGAAGAACTATGTTTTTGTCCTCATTGCTGATTGCCCGGAGGTACCCGAAATCATCAACTCCAACGATGGTGCATTCAGTTCGAAATTGGCCCTCACAGACCTTTACACGTTGGCCTCTGAAAGTGAAATGCACTGGCACCTCCTCACCTGTTTCAATGCTCTAGGGCTGATAGTCTATGGGACAAGCGTTTCATACTTATTAAAGCCTGAGGCAGCACCATTTTAAATCTATAATCCAAAAAAACCACTAGAAATGGTTGCCAAGACACCATAGCGGGATACTTGGTTTACGGAAGTGTTCTGTGAACACCCCTTATCCGGTCATACCACCTTCGACACAGGGTTCCCCTTTTCGTAGCATGTGGTCAGCGGCGCGGATCCTCAACTCCCCCCTCACACCTAGGTCTCGATGTTAGCGCACGTATGACTCACACACCCGAGGTATAAATACACACGGGCAAACGCCACACACGAAACCAACGTGGTTGACCTCTGAAGTAAACGGTTGTGTCCACGTCCTCTCCCATCTTTTTCTTCATCGCGGGTATCAGGGAAACGTAATCGGATCTGGGTTAATTCCGTGGCCCCGGCGTGGTTCAATACCACATGCTGGGGCCCACAACAAGTGTTTCTACAAAATTAGCTAGGGTTGAGCCAAACATTAAAGTAACACTAATTTGAGACTCACGTGTGCATCCAACTAGACAGATACATCTCTCCGATGGCCTTCTGGCCACCTGATTCAAACAGGCCAAGAAGTGCTTCTAGGTGATTCAATGTACAGGCTATTACAGAGGCTTCCGATGGTAGTGACTTTGGTTGGCCTGTAATCTGCCTAATGACATCATGCAGACAAGTGGTAGGCTTCGTGTTCGAGACATTTATGCCAATGCCTACGGAAGGTGCAAAGAATAGGTAAGAACCCAACCAACAAGCTACAGTCCTCTGAAAACAATAAAGGATTACCGATGAGGCACCTGGCTTCATCTGGTTTTGAAAGGCTAGCACTTGTAAGGGTTCCTGACACCTTGGTGTAAGTATTAGATCCTCCATCAACGACGTAAACATCGTTCGGCCACTTGACTCGAATTTCCGGGGAGGGCAGTTCAAGCGTCTAAAATGTGCATGCAACACAAGAGCCTTATGCTTCTCTTCAAATAGATACCGGTCCCCCAAGAAAGGTGTACAGCTACAAGGTCGCTTCATTAAATTCAGAGTCAGATGCGTTTAAGTACAAAGACCAAACTGTGGCCTTCTTTCAACACAATTCCACCGGAGGACACAGCTTCCCCAGTCGTCAAGGTCACCGACAAACAGTTTTAGGTCTTACCAGGAGTTTGGCTTGGGTATACATCTGAATCGCTGAAGCAGCAACGAGTCTGTGATGTGGAGCCTAAAGCAGAACTGACGTAAATCTCCACGGATGCAAGTGTACTAGCAAGAGAGGCGAAAATAAGTCATGTGGTTAAAAGTAGCGGAAGTGCTTACAGCCAAAATGTCCTGTTCTGTGCGACCAGATTGGCCACTCTGACGCCAGTCGATGCCCACGGACTCAGCAATCAGTTGACGCAGAGCCATTGCAACCGCAAGGGAACAAATGTGCTGCAGCCAACATAGGAGACGCGAAAATTCGCAACACCTTGGTGTGTCCGAGAGTGGCAAGTCGACGTGAAGTGTAAAGGCGGCCATGCCACGCGGCGATATCCACTGATTGCTCCGACGCCCTTCAGATATCGCATTTAATTAGAGAACACACTAACCCACACCCGCGGTTTGTACAGACGACGCCAACATTAGTCCCGACTGTTTGGGCAACTTTGACAGTATCCTAAATTACTTGCTGGTTGCAATGTTGTGGATTTACCCTTGGCAAATCGTGTAGCTCGACGTGAGAACATCCGCCCACACTGGATACCGACCGATTCGAGTAGTTTCAAGTCTGTTGAAATAATCGCCCCAAGAAAAACCATCGGCCGGCAAGTTTGATTTTGAAATAACACAAACTTCCCGATCATGTGCTTGCTCAAAAACCTTCTTAATCGCATCAAATTTCTGAAGAAAAGAAGAGGCATAAACAAGACAATCTCAAGTTATCAAGTTTGGTGTGTGACGCTGCCATCCCTTAGCAATGACTAAGTGCAAAGTGCCTTCTGAAATGGGATTTCTCCAGTCCCAACTTCACATGCCTTCATAGGTACATTGATACACAAAAATTCTGATGAAAGCCCAGTGCAACAAGCGCCGTAATGTGTCTTCTAATGCGAAAAAAACTTTTGGCATTTGTGGAGTTTCAGGCTCAGTTGGATGAGACCCTGACAAATCACTGTACAAAGTGATAACGTGGTAAAAGCATGCCATACCATCGAAACGAACACAGATTAGTGCAAGTAAGGAGGAGTACCTCATCAGTGGAATCGACTGATTTGTATGCAAGTAGTGGAGTTGGTGACGGAGCGCGGTCACGAGCATTTCCCACTGGTTCAAGCCCAAGAAGGTCCAAGGCCGATGCCAGTCGTTCAGGGAAGACCTCCAAGTGTTCAAGCTAAAAGTGTTTTTAGTAAGGCTAACATGCTAGTGGCAACACTGAATACAATGTACATCTGCGTTTAGGCTTCTATTTGAAATTTTTCGTGTCAGGTCCTGCTGCAGGAGGCTCATAAGATGGTTCCACAGTCTAATTACTGCACCGAACTGTTGCGAATAGAATTCGCTTACAATTACAAGGTCATGCTGCACTCACGTGTTGCCTAAAACTTTGTTTAAACTTAATCTATATTTTAAAACGAGATGCTCACCTTGACCACGACCATCACGGGGTCGTCTCGGGCATTCGTAAGACACAAGCAATTTCCACGAATCTTCCAACCCCAATCGTCGCGTTGTAAAGTAAAATCTTGTGGGGCGTCCAGCGAAGTAGCAATCGTCTGCGAACCTGGCGCAGGCGAATGGCAGCCTTCACTGTTTACGATAAGCAAAACCTTCCCGGTGCCTTCCATTAGATAATCACCGACCTACAGGGCAAAGAAATTTAACCCACCGACATCGGACACAACAATTTGTTGCTCGAAGGCATAAAAGCTTTTGGTTGAGTCAAGCGAACATTTCTATTCCCATTAACAGACCGCGCAAAACGACCACGAAATCCTGTCGTGTCTGCGGGCTCTTCCAGGCTCAGTAAACGAAGTTCGAATTAGCCGCGGTAGGCATAGACTTTGAATATGGAATGTGCATTTCAAGGCACCAAACTGAGGGACTTGCCAGCTTGATAAACAACTTGTGTGTCAATTTAGTCGGGTACTTAGGGTGCCTTGATTCATACGGTAGCTGTAGAACCTTTAGTTTACTCCTTATGCTTAAATCCTACGTTTCTACGAGTAGCAAAAAGACAACTACAGCATAGTCCACATAACCTTTGCCCACTGAGAAAATCGAAAAAGTGAAGTGAGTTCTCAAAATTTGAGTAATTTTACCTTCGCGATTTCATCCGCCTGATTTCCAGCGGGAGAGGAGTCGCTAATGACCAGAAGATTGGTTGACGACTGCCACACGTCGTCAACCCAGTCTTTTGGGGACAGCGCGTACACGGTGTACACATGAGGATCCACGACCGATCGAATGCGACAAATCAACTCACTGCCCGTATTATAACACTGAATGTTTGGGGGCTTGGTGACCCGCCTTGGGGTGCGAACGTCAGTTGCGTTGACAACCTTTTTCCGCGGAAAATCTTTGAGTGCCAGGCACTTCCACGACAACTGTGATGTTGATCCCAAGCTACACATTTTCGAGAAGACTTTGTATCTGGAAGCGGTGGAAAATGTGGCGTAAAAATGCAGACACGCACACCGTTTTGACAAACGAAGTGACGGAAGCAGTTTCACACTGGCGCGCTGTTGCAGTGTGCTGCCGAGGTAGAGCGTCATTACCAGGGAGGGCGTTCAGCCATTGGCTGATAGCATGCTCCGTCAAACGCGCTTGGCGGATGCGGGTGCATCACGTGATTTGTCACGCTTACAAGGGCAGCGCAGCGATTGGTTCGAATGAAGCCAAGTAGGCAATTGCTGCTGGAGTTGTTCATCCTCCACTTTATGAAGTGGAAAAGGACCGGTAGAAAGCCAGGGTAGCGGAGAAGCAACTACAGAACAATTCTAGTTGTTGAGTGAAATTTCAATCAGGTTGCCTTGTGTCCTTTTCAGCAATGAGACCATGCTTGTTGGTTGGCTTTGGTGTTCTAGTGAATTGGCCGGCGATCTACGTTACTGACACTAAAGCTTGCAGGCGTCTCGAGAAATCAGGTTTGATCTCGTAATTGGAAGATTATTCTTATAATCACGTACTAAAAAAGGCCAATTCGACATTGTAAGTCACATTGACGCCTATTTCCGAAAGTGCCCAAAATTGTGGTATGCTAATTTTTTTCCTGCCGCTTAGAATTAAGTCAATTGTTAGCATTGAACAGCGTCGCTGAAGCATTGCAAACAATATTTTGCATTTCGAAAATCGATGTTGAGAATGTTTCCTAGTAGTTTGTTCCATTTACCTGTAATTTTGAATAGTAAGTGGGATTTGGATTCATCCCTGAACAGGGTCTGATTGGAACCGTTTATTAAAACCAGCCCCAAGAATCTAGTGATTTTGTTGCGCATCAAAAAATGTTGATCCGATGTTTTGGGCTTCCTTCGTTCAATTAAATTAGATGGTTTTTCACGGTTTTTCCGTAAGCACGAATTGTGGGAACTAAGTGCGTTTCCTTAAAAGAAAGAAGGTGTAATTATGCTAGATTTTAAGGCGTAGATTGAGGAAACGAAAGACGTTACGATATGAAGAGCATTAAAGTGGATGCGTGCATTTGAAGATTCAAGATGGCGCAGACACATCGATGGTCCCTTGTGAAATAAGACAACCATGTCGGAGGAATGGAAATATTGGAATAAATTTAAGACGGATGATGAAAGAGAAACTTATGAGCAGGTAACTTTGAACGACACCTCAGTGCTTAGAATCGTGTTACTTCACGTCCAATAACCCTGTCGTCGCAGCCTCACACACACGACCCCCTTTTCACGGCATGTCCGTCAGTCACGCAGGTTGGCATGCCCAATCACCCCTCCACATGCACTACCACTGCCCACCGTATCCATGTGACCCTTCAGACTTCTGTATTTTTACCAGTCCGCTCAATTGTATCAGTCAACACAACGCGACTAGGTTGAGCTTTCTAGTAAACGGTTCTGTTCGCTATCTCTGGTCTCACTTCTCTCTTGGTTACTTCGCGAGGTATGATGCATCAACAAAGTCGTTGCCCGTGAAACGCACGCCGCCTATCACCGATAAATTCAGACCACTTGACGATAATGGAGGTGGACTTAAGATGTCGTGCTCTGTTGAGGAGGCAAGAGTTCTCTATCTAGCAGAATTGATACTGCTATGATGATACAAACGACAATATTTATTTCGGGGGTAGAGCTGTAATCCTCGCCCTTGACGAAGTGAATTGTACAAACACTTAAGTCTTGACAGCTAACCGAACAGTCAGTATTTGGTACGTTGAAAATCGGTGGGTTTGTACTAGCAAAAATTGGACTTGAAGTGGTCAAGGCAAAGAAATAATGACGTTTGATATTGAAAATGTCGAGTGAATTGTTTTTAATGCGTTTCCAGGGATTCAAAGCGCGGGGCCACACGTGTTACCGAAATGGTGCACAGGTAATCACCGTGCTTTTCCGTGTTTGTCGAAGGTTACCCACATTTGGTAATCAGTAGACGAGGAATGAATGTTTAGGACATTTTACCAAGGTGGGGAATGCTTCGCTCAGTGTTAATATATCACATCTAACCACCTCTTTCGTTCATGCTGTTCAGTGCCAATCTGTTGTGGGCCCCAGCATGTGGTCTTGAACCACGCCGGGACCACTGAATGGAATCTGGCCCGATTACGCTTCCCTCAACCCACGATGAAGAAGACCTGAGAGAATATAGACTTAACTGTTTACTTCACAGCCCAACCAAGTTGGTGTCGTTGTGTTGAGTGTGGCATTTGCGCGTGCTTACTTATACCTCAGATGTGCGAGTCATAGATGCGCTAACATCGAGACGTAGGTGTGAAGATAATCCAAGATGAACGTCCGCGCGGCTGGCGACATGCTGCGAAAAGGAGGGCCCTTTGTCAGAGGCTGGAGTGGCCGGATTAACGAGTGTAAATCAATGCGATTCACAACAAGTGTATCGCAAATAACCACCCCCTTCGTTCACACCGTTCTAGAAACGGTTTAAAAATGGGTGTCTGCTCGAACGTGAGTAGCACACGTCACTACGCTATGAACTTATTAGTCATTGAAATTAATATTAACTTCTAAATAAAACGGAGATACCCATCGAAAATAACAGAACTGTTCTTCTAAACAGGCTAGATTAATTAAAAAGAAGTTAATCTATATTCGGACGCGACTGCTCATTCTCCTCGGTCTGAACCCTTCTCCCCCATTTGCGCTTGTTGCAGTCGTCAATGGCTGTAAACTTCAAAGCCATCTACAACTTAACTTCATGATTGAATGTTGAAATTAGTGCTATTCAGTCGTCTGCAAAACCCCCCTCATCGGTCATTCCATTGCGATAGTCAAAGCCGGATGTGAAACATTTAAGGGAGACTTATCCGAGGGACACTCCTCCTTTGACGTAAAGGCAATTTGGGGCTAATACTCATCAAGTTATCGGCAGCGGCATCACGCAACTATGACAAAGCGACATTCCTACTAAACGATGCTGGATCTATGTAGTTGGTATGATTTACATTATGGCCTTTTCATGTTAGATTGTGTGACAGAAATAAGAATAATTGAAGTTAGGTTGCTTCAGGGCCAACACTTACATAATTTTACTTGATACATAGTTCGAAGAAGCAAAAGTAAAGGTCGTCATGACGAAAATATCGAAGTTTAACTGATAGAAAAGCCAGCACACCGAATCGGAAATTGATTTCTAAAAAAAGAGGATTTTGATCAACTCAGCTTATAAAATTGACCGAATTGTTTTGCAGCAGATTGTACTAGTGAGTCAGCATCTAGAGTGGTGGCAAATGTATGTACGTCCTAATATACCGCAACGCATTTTCTCAGCTGCTTGGAAGAAAAAGGTCAAGAGCAGTACTAAACTGAGGTTTGTGCAATAAAATCATTTGGTTGATGTGCATTATCGATGGAGTGAAGTGTGGCTTGTAAAAGTTCAACACCATTTACTTAGTGTTTCTTCTTAAATGGAAGATGTTTAGGAACTGTTAAAGGAAAGTGTAAGATTGTCATAACAAACGCTAAATTAGCACACATGAATCTTCGTAGGATATACCATTATTAACAACAATAATCAAGTATGTAACTTAAAATAACCCTAGCAATATTTCGATGTCCACCTAAAAGCGCACTTTAAGGGTCTATTGAAACGTCATAAGCATTACAACGAGAGTACTGGTGTCGTCGATACTAGACGAGCCTGAGTTCGGCAATGTGCTGAATGTTGTCGGAGAACCGCTAGACGTTTGGTCTGTGATAAATAAATCAACTGCAGTCTTTGCCACGCCTTGTCGGGAAATAGGTGTCTGCACACAGACTTCAAACGACTTTAGCGCCTTTCAATACCAAAGGGAACGTCGTAGATGTGAAAAATATGATACATTGAAGAATATTTCGCTCACCAGCACAGTGGTAATGATTAGTTAGTTGCCTAGAACAGGAGAAGAACTGAAGCCTACCAAAAATGAAAAAATGTTGCGAAATTGTGTGCAAAAGGCACTTGGCTAAGTACCATATATAACCACCAAAAAGATCTTCCTTGTGGAGCACATCGCTATCGACACATACCCCACAAATTCATTCAACAAAACCTATTCCTTATCAGAACCTTTCTAACGGCAACCTGGACATTGTTTGGAACCGATGTCAATATGATGCGATGGCTTAGCAATGTAATTGCATTCCTGCTATTTTAAAGCGAAATTTCACATCAGTAAGGCTAATGCTTTTTTCAACTATGCTATATAGAAAAATGGTTTGCTGTCTTCCATGACGGCACTGTTGGCCTTGGACATTGACCTGGGTCGTCAGTGACCACCTATTTGAGAAACGTTTCATTGGCAGCTTTCTAATTCATCGTCTCTGTTTTAAAGTACCACACAAGTGCACCTACGGACACACGTGCACTTACACACCTAACATTGAAAAGATGGCTGTGTCAAATCGTCTAGAGTCCTGATAAACGCCTTCTTTGTTCGTGTTATTTTAAAGGAGTTGTTTTGGGCCCCAGCATGTGGTCGTGAACCACGACGGGGCCACTACATTAACCCTGGCCCAATTGCGCTTCCCTGGTGCCAGGGATGAGGAAAAAAACCAGACCAACCCAAAGAAGTTGGTGTCTTTTTGTTGTGTGTGACATTCGCGCGTGTGTATTTATTCCTCGGATGTGTGAGTCATACATGAGCTAGCATTGATACCTAGGTGTGAGGATAATTTAAGGTAAATATTCGTGCGAATGAAGGGGAAGTTGAGGATCCGCGCGGCTGGCGACGTGGTGCGAAAAGGAGAGCCCTGTTTCGGAGGATGGAGCGATCGGATTAAGGAGTGTGAATAAACACGATTCGCAACAGGGTTATAACATAGGAAGGTTGAAATATGAGCGGCCCATTGCTAAAAGTTCATTTTGATGTTGCTAACAAATTTCCTACCTCATACGACAGGAATAGTTTTGATAAAATCCAACTTTTACATAAATATTAATAGGAGACATCATCAATAAATAGAAGGTCGGGAAATGATGCATCCGGTTGACAATTTTTAAAGACGGAATAGCGATCGTTTAACTCAATTTACTAAAATGTGTCAATGAGATGTAGTTTACACAGAAATTTTACATTAACGAACATTAGGTTGCAATTTGTTTAGGTAAATCGAGCAAAATTTGCCAACTAACCAAAGTTGAAAATTGAGCTTGGGTGCTGCAAATAACAACTTCATCTAATGTATTAATGCTGTAGATTACCCGAGACCTAGTATGAATAAGACTGGTACAACAGAACAGGCTTTACTGAGCAATCACAAGTCACAATCAAACGCCAGTCGCCGTCCATCCGAGTCCACCACGCTGTCAACGCAAATATTTATATGCTGGTCCTAAGTCGTGGTTGTCGCTGCATGGCTGCCTGTCTTCTTGCATGCCAGTGGAATGCAGTGGGGCAGGGGATTAGCTGACGTCTGAGCGTAGTCCAATGTCTGCGCCCTTAAACGTCGCCACTGTAGAATACCCGAGCCATAATAGGAAAAAGACTGGTACAACGGAACAGGCTTTATTGACCAATCACAAGCCAGAGCCACACGTCAGGCGCCTTCCATCCGAGTCCACCACGCTGGCCACGCCGCCCATTATAAACTGCCCCTCAATCGTGTCCTTCTCTGGTTGGCTGCCTTCCTTTCTCGCATGCCATTGAAACGCAGAGTGACACAGGATTGGCTGATGCCAGGTGGTCTAATATGTCTGCGCTCTGATCCGACGCAACACTGCCTCCCCCTCAGCAGTGAAGCTGTCCTCAGCTTCTGGCTTGGTTCCTTGCACTGTTGTTGATTTCCGGTGTTGGTAAAATATCCAGTTCGACACTCTCCACACCCCACATCTGGCAGGATAGTGGCCCATGCGAATAGTTGACGAGAGACTTTGCTCTTGTAGACTTGCAGGAAAGACTCATCATCCATTGAACGTCCTTCGCAGTTGCAGTCCAGCTGGCTTTCACTGTCCAAGTCGTCGTCGCTGAGCTGCCAATGCCTCTTCAGATGCAGTAGTCCTAATCCCGGGCAATGTCTTTGGATCCATTTTTTTTTTGGACATTGGATGAACGCCATGACAAATTCAGCTGGCATTTAAGGGTCTTTGCCTGTGTTGACCATAGAAGAGAAAGGGCTGGGGTCCGATTCGCGTAATTCGAACGCGTCCGCTGCCACCAATGTAGAATACCCGAGCCCTAATAGGTAGAAGACTGGTACAACAGAAAGGGCTTTATTGACTAATCAGAAGCCAGAGCCACACGTCAGGCGCCTTCCACCCGAGTCCATCAGGCTGGCCACGCCGCTCATTATATACTGCAACTCAGTCGTGTACTTCTCTGGTTGGCTGGTTATCTTCCTCGCACGCCATTGGAACACAGAGAGACACAGGATTGGCTGCGGCAAGGTGGTCCAACATGTCTGCGCCCACATTCGACGTCACAGCATATTACACCGCACTACACCACACTACGGTGCATTGCACCATAACACATAAAACCGTTTTTAACAGAATCTTAATGCACATTAAAGTCTGTGCAATAAATTGCGGTTTTTAAAACTGTTTAGTATATATTATAAGGGAGTATCATCCCTGAATTTCTATTGTTGCTCATGGTGTTGTGATTACTGGAAGATTTATAAGTTAATCCTCGAGTTAAAATTGTTGCGTTCTGTCAAGGCTTTTGGAGAGGCAATTCTTCTGTCCTATTGTAAGAGAGCTAGCATGCTTCCAAACGGATCGCACAGACTGTGCTGCAGTCTTACTCTAATTTGTGTTTTAGTGGTTTTTTTTTATTCATTCTATTTTGGGTTTAATTGAATTATTTGGAAAAACAATCACCTTTCCCTGTGTGTCGTCCTAGTACATCGTGTTAAAAATAATGTTAGAATGACTATTTGTCTATCTGCTTTCCACAAACGTGATCGCTTATTTCACCAAAATTAGTTCTCTGATTTTTGCAGGTTCTGGTACTTGAAATTGAATATATTCTTATCACGGTGTAATTACACATTGTACCCACTTTAGTTTACTTTAAATTCTGTTTTTTTTGATGACAAAGCTAAATATGTCTAATTTTTCATGTTTTTTGTCTGTACAGCATGTATGTTCTCTTTTTTTAATTAAATTGAATTTTGGTTGCGTTAGCGCATGAACTTGTTTAGCTAGTCTCAAGTGCCAAAGATGGGTCTTAGTCTAGTTTGAGTTTGGATGTTCACTTCTCTCGGAATTATTTTTCGTTAACTAACTCATAGCATACTTCCTTTTGTGCCATTAACTATATAATGATGTAAAAGGCGCCTCAACAACTATGCATTTTTTTTCTCAACTTGTACCATCTTACTTTGGCCATTGTTGCTTGCATCCGCAATTAGGCCCTAGATTAATGTAAGATTACGCAGTAATCATAACGATAATAAAGTCATTGTGATTTGGTGCTATGGTATTCCTTAAAAATCCCCTCTGTAGATGTGATGATATTAATTAACCGAAAGCTGGTTGGTTTTACACGCTAGACACATATACAAAGTGGATTTGTTAATTGAAATCAACTTATAACTAGAATACTTGTGTGTATTTATGGTTTTGTAGCAAGGGATATTAAAAATAGGACCAATGCGAGAACTAGGAATTACCGTTCTAATCCATCTCGCATGTTAATATGCGAATATCCGACCAACAACAGTAGTTAAAAATGACTTAATTATTGGAAAATGAGGGATGGGAGTAGTTTGCACAAGCACCATGCTGGTGAGCCCTTAAGATGCATTGCTTGTCTCCAACAGGGCAATGTTTTTACTTCCACCGTTTTTATTTAATAATTGTCAGCAGATCCGCATTAGCGATCATTGCACCTATCGATCGAGCTTACTATCTTGTACCACTCGCCTTTCCATGCGAACCACTAAGATTTGATGTTCTGTCACCGTTTCCCGCAACCCACTTGCATACTTCCTTGTGCAGAATAATCAGCCACCCTAGTCGCTTTAGGCTGACTTGAATATGGGTGGGTCTAATCCCGTCAAAGAACCAATAACTACTAACCTAAGTAGCCAGGCTTCATGCAGTATTTGGTAGGCACACTCATTCGTTTTATCAGTCAGAAGTAAAACGGCAGAAATTAGGAACAACCTTTGTGCTTTGGGCAGCACAATTCATTTTTAACTGCAGGAAATACCTCAAAATGTGTTCTAAAAGAATATCACCACCCATAATTGATAATCCATTTCAGCCTAAATGTCTGCCAATATTCCTCTCGTGAAGATGCCCAGTGGTCACTCGATTCCAGTCATTGGATTGGGAACATTCAAGGTAAATCCATGTGGGTTAATTCTAACGCCTTCTGAAATGTACATACTAAATGTCAGATACATTGTCAGGTGATTGGCATGCTCAAAACCAGGCGCATTCAAGTCATTTCTTCATAATGCGCACACGTAAATTTTCGAGATTTAAAACAAAATTTACCTGCATCATTTCAAGCTAGCGATTTAGATCAGCATCATTGCGTTCTTTTTACTTGAATATATAGTCAATTTTTTTTTAGATGCAAGTGCACCAGCCCTTGTTTGGTCACTAACCAAGATAGAGGCATAATCTAGTCGAGATGCACTCCGAGTTACTGTAATCTCTGAAATATGTTTCTGCATTGCAACTGTTTAATCTGGGGACATAAATTCACAATACGTTTTGTGTGAATAATATAGTTTGGCTTTTGGCACACAACCCAATGAAAATGACCGCTGCCCCCTGTCGATTTTTCTTCCCTTGCCTCTTTAGACCACGGATAGGGAAGTCGTAAAGACGTCAATATCTGCTGCTCTAGACGCCGGGTATCGCCACATCGACACGGCACACATATATCAAAACGAAGCGGACATTGGGGAGGCCCTGAAGGTCAAATTTGCCGAAGGTGGTATCAAACGGGAGGACGTTTTCATTACAACCAAGGTTGTTATGGTACTCTCCCTCAACACCTTGAGAGATATGCACGTGGTAACTTTTACTGTGATCCTATTAACAGCTCTGGGGAACGGAGCATCATCCAATGGACGTGAGACCGGCCTGCGGGGAGAGTCTGAGAAAGCTGCAGCTCAGTTACGTCGATTTGTATTACGTACACTGGCCTGTGCATCTACTGGTAAGCCATCTTGCGTCCTTGGGCTTTGTGTTGCTGTGCACATTCAGAGAACCAATGACAAACGCTGACATAGTCTACATTCACGAAACTGGCCATTCAGGAAAAGAAATATGTGCAGGATTGTTTTCAACCGGGACCTTGAAGCAAAGTGAGATTGAGTCGTTCAACCACCTTCAATACTCCTGACCTGTTGACGAGAGGCAGACAGAGTTTTGGTTAATATCTCCGGGTTGTAAACGAAGAGAAACTTGTAGTGTTATGTGTTTGGGCACCTGTGTCACCGTGCGCGGTGGATGGCCGGCGTACATGGTTAGAAGTGTCCCTTAACTTCGGATCACCCTAGGAGCATTAAATATCATCAATATTTTCGAGACCCCCCGCCTTGCACGCTTTCTCTTTTCTTTTTAATGCGGCGTTTGCCTTTTTGAGCATCTCCTTTTTTTGTTTCAGCGTCAAGGTGAATCGCGTGGCCCATTCACCCTGGAAGACACTTGGAGGGTAGGTCCAATTTCTAACCGGTAAATATGCTCCCCTCACGGGCTTTGTGAAATTATAAAGCGAATATTTTTCGCCATAGAAACCTTGTAAGTTGGCGTAAGTTCTGTAATGGACTGTCAGCGATAGCGCCAGAGTGAAGCCTGTTTACTGGCCAGATGATATCACTGGCTCCTCGCTATTGCATTGGTTACTGTCACCAATACTCTTTCACGCGTTCTCACTCATTTACACTCAAGGAAGCTAATGAAGGGTCGTATCCGCTGACGCCTGTCTTGTCTCTGGTCTATAAAGCTGCTCCTATCCTCTCGGATATTATGTCAACTGGTTATAGGATTTTCTTAATGGAATTTCGATTTTTAGGAGATGGAAAAACTCGTCGATGCGGGACTTGTCAGATCCATAGGCATCTCCAATTTTAACAAAGCCCAAATTGATCGAATTATGGCCATTGCACGCATCAAACCAGCAATGCTCCAGATAGAGTCGTCTGTTGTGTTCCTCAACGAGAAGCTTATAAAGTATGCCCAGCTGATTGGACTCCCAGTGACTGCTTATGCGCCCTTTGGGTCGCCGGGAACTTCTCCGTACGTCTCTGTTTTCACTGCTTGCATGTGGCGCACGAACACATTCCCACCGTACTTGGCACAAGTTAGTGAGGCTTTCGCTTCACGGACAATTGGTTTGCACCCACACGTTCGCACTTTTCGTTGTTAGCGTAAAAGAACCTTTTTGCGCCACCGAACAAGTTTTTGCATTAGTCCGAATTCCACAAAGTTCGCCTCTTATTGCCAACACTGTCACCGCCCTAGTGACTACGCCAACCCTCTGGAATTGCCCTGTGTCCTGGACATCGCGAAAGCCCATGGCAAGTCTCCCGCCCAGGTTCTTGTCCGACACGCACTTCAGCGCCAGCTTGTTGTCATTCCGAAGAGCACCAGCCCCAAACGCATACTGGAAAATATCAAGGTGACCAACCTGACCTCCTTCCCTTCCTCCCTTCCCTACCTCCATCAACTGTAATGCTTGCCGTAATTTGTGGTTTCAGGTTTTCGACTTTGAACTTTCACCAGTGGAAATGGAGGCACTAAACAACGCCGAGCCAAATCAGTGTCGTCGATTCGGTCTAAGAGCGTGAGTGACTGGCGAAACTCGACTTGTAACGGCTTACAGCCTTCATTATTCCTGTCGATGCTACTCACTGCTTAGGACATTGATTTGCCCTTTTTTTTGCAATTTCAGATGGTCGAAACTCCCAGAATATCCATTCGACGACGAATTATGACGCATCAGCCGAAACCTCATTGAAGAGCTATCGATAGCTTTTGTCACCTTTTCAGTAGTTCTAAATTACCCATCTTGGTACTGGAGTTTGTTACATTCGATGGGCATTTTCGTTGTATGGTTCCATAATAAAGATTCTGCTTAGTTGATCTCATTTTCATCAAGCAGAAAAAATATGCCCAGAAATTGGGGTTTCTTCTGTAAAGACGGGGCCCCAACTGAGCGGAACCACATGCGACGAACATGCATTTTACGGATCGGCCATGATTCACACAATTCTCGTAGAGTTTGCTGGGCTTTTGAAGATGATTTAATCAGTCGTGAATTAATTTGCAATGTCCCAGCGGTTGTTCACCTAACGCACAAGCACAATCAAGAAGTACAAAACCACTGTGTATTTGGCCCACGACAACTGGCACATCATGTTGGATAGAAATACTAGTGTGTTCATTTTAATGTCACAGACACAAATTTGGGTGAAAGACGGGCAGCGATCACACTCATTTGGCGGATCACTCAAGGCAGCCTGCGGCAGCCGCAACTTTACTCGGATTGGCCAGTTCTTCTCCAAGGGCGTGCAGGATCTCCCGCCGGTAGTCGTCAAAGTCGCCGTCTATTTCGACGATGTTCTGGTCCTCAATAACCCAAAGGATACACTGGGTATCTCGAATGAGTCTTTCGTCATGGCTCACGACAATGACACCTACAGAGCAAAAAGCACGTATCGTGAACATCGGGTGGAATAAAATACAGCTGCACCATTTTGAGATCGTCAACTGCACAGCAGTAGTCTCCCGGCCGTGCGACTTTTTAGCAAAATTTGTCAGAGCAATCTGATGTAAATTGTGTTGATTGACACTCGTTACTTCGTTCACTTCATTCGCCAACACAATGTCCCCCCTTTTCAGACAGCGTGCTGTCAACACAGCGCACACAGGCGTGAACCAACCACACATCTAGCGCGTAGAAATAACTTCGCTAAATAAATCGACTAGTACACTTAGGACTAGGTTCGATTTGGCGACCTTTGCGTATCCACTTAGAGGCGGAAGCACGGCTGGGCTGGATCTGTAAACTAACACTGAGGTGCAACAAACAAAGTAGCTTTTATTTAGTCAAGATTAATAAAATTAAAATAGGCAGTGATTAACAATATTTTTACCACATTATGTATAGGCTTGGGTTAGCTATCAAGACAACGGTACTGGTACTCAGAAGTAGGCCGTGTGCTCTATCAGGACTTCCGAGTGAGATGTCACTGGAAAAATGTTGCATCCAATGCAATTATCCTTAAAAATGCCACGAATTTAAAAGAACATAAGCAGTTAACATCGGCCATGGCGTCAGCAGCGGCCGATTCACACACGAGCTTGTACTTACCACCTTCAAACTCGTTGACAGCAACTGCCAGTGCGTCGATTGACTCGATGTCCAAGTTGTTGGTAGGCTCGTCGAGAATCAGGATGTCAGGCGCGCGTCTGGAGAGTTCGGCGAAGGCTACACGCGACTTCTGGCCACCCGAGAGGTCTGCATTGGGGATGGTGTGAGCATGACTTTCCAGGCCGAACTTGCCAAGAGTGCTTCGGGCCTCCTGGTAATAAAAAAAAATCACTGTATTACCACCACCGAGACCAGAGAATGACTTTGGTTGGACTTTTTCAACAGAATCAGAGGACACTGGCAAAAATAGCGCCGGTCAGCAAAGCATGCCAATGCCTCCTGACTAGGCGCTCACAAACATTGGCAAAAAGGTGGTTAGGGCTAGAAGTAACGCTGTGACTTTACCTGGTAGGAAATATTGAACAGACGCATGAGGTATTCGGCGGGGGTTTCGGCCATGTTTAGTTGATCAGCGGAGTGCTGATCGTATTTGCCGATCTTCGCCCGATGGTTCATTCTCCGCTCACCCTCCACCTGAAACACGAGTAATTTTTGATCAGAAATACTACCCAGAAGCACTGCTGGCCACAGGTAGATGCGTTTCGTCTAGACCGATGACAACGGTGTGACTTTCGAACTCTTTCGGTGTGACGAGATGGCTATGGCTTCCATCTGCGAGGCCAGTCACTATGGCTGATGTTCAGCACTTTGAAGTGAGGCTGCATAGAATCATGTATGAAGGTATAGATAAAACAATGCGGCCAGGTAATTAGAAGTTTCAACGAGAAAACTCAAAAAAACGATAAATTTGGGCATATGGGAGTAAGTTCATGAAGGTTCGGCTTCGCAGAGCGAACCACACGATGGAGACTGCTTTGTTACAAGAAATTCAGTCTGCTGCCTCAGTTAAGTGCCTCCAATCTCTGATGTCAACAAATTACCGCTAACGACCTTGACAACAAAAGATACAAAGCAAGTGTGCCGTGGCAGGTCCTTACAGGAGTGAGTTCACCAGTGAGGAGTTTGATGAAGGTGGATTTGCCAACACCGTTGGGTCCGACTATGGAGATTCGCGTCTGCAAATCGACGCCAAAGTTCACATTCTTGAAAAGAGGCCTCTGACCGGGATACGCGAAGGTGCAGTTGAAGAGGCCCAGCACGGGTGGACTCAGAGGCGGGGGGTTGGGGAAGTGGAACTGTGGAAGGACGAAAAGTGGATCACTTCATTTGCCGTCAACGAACCAAAACCACGCGCACTCGGATCCAAGCCAGTAGCCGAAGGAGCACATTAGTGTCTCCTTGACAATCACGGCGCAAGGCATTATCAGACAGAAAAAAGGAGTATAATTTAACGAAAAACCTAGAGCACTCGCACCTTGACGACGTATTCCTTGGGCTTGGCGATCAGCTGTTTGGTGTCGGCGGATTCTTTTTCTGCCGCGTTTTGAGCTGCTTTCCCCTTCGTCTGTTTCCTAGTTAGAGCCTCGCGTTGGTTTTTCGCCTGGGCTTGTTTGCTACTCATACCGGATTGTTTCAGCTCCTTTAAGCGTCTTTCCTGCTTCTCATACTCCTTCAACTGTTCCCGGCGTCTCTGGGCCAGCATTGTCTTAAAGCGATCTGAAACAGGGGCGTCATAGGTTTTAAATAAACGATATCATCCTACTTAAAACTAACATTTACCAACACGGTTTCTGGCAAAAGCAATCACAGACCGAACAACTTACCGTAATTACCGCGGTAGTAAAAGAGCTGCTGCTGGTCTAAGTGGATAATGTCAGTACAGACGTTGTCCAAAAAGGATTGATCGTGGGAGACTACAAGAAGAGTCTTTTTCCAGCCTTGTAGGTAACTACAATTTGAAAATGCACCAAAAGCAGTGTCTCGACCAGACGGAAAACGCGTGACAACTAGGGGGACAGGGAGATCCTGCGGAGGAGGCAACTCACTTATCGAGCCAGATAACGGCGTTCAGGTCTAGGTGATTGGTAGGTTCGTCGAGGAGGAGGAACGTGGGTTCCAGAAACAGGGCACGAGCCAAACTGACGCGCATTCTCCAACCGCCCGAGAGGTCCTTGGTGGGCTTTTCCATCATGGCGGCAGTAAATCCCAAACCCGCTAGAATGCGTCTTGCCTTACCCTCGGCTGCGTCAGCCCTCATCGCGACAAGTTCCTCATGAACCTATTTGATGAAAGAACTTGAAGATTTTTTAACGGTGCGGCCAGTGCTTTGTATTAGTTGTGTATTTTACAATACATTTCCTCAACGTAATGAAACTTGCTTAGACAAAATAAACCTATGTCACAGACACAGTCTTACATCTCAATTGTAAAGTCAAGGAAAATGAGCTGATGATTCAATAGAAACACAACAACAGGGCAAGGATCATAGGTGCATTACCTCGTTGTAGCGGTCGAGGACCTGTGGGTCGTGAGATGCCTCAATCTTCTCTTTTAGTTCCTCCAACTCCTGCATGAGATGAAGACGCTTCGTGTCAGAGTTTAGCACGACCTGAACTGAGGGTGTTTCCTCCGCAACCACCTCTGGAATAAAATGAAACATGAAGTATTCGCCTTACTGTTGGTGTGGCTTCTAAACTACCAGAATAGTGGTAAACTGCACCAACCAGCCCGACATCGTTAGTTCCTTAAGCTGTCTAAATAACGCATAAAAGGTGGAAACATTCAGCAGAATAAAGAACTACACTTTTGGATGACTCCGGCGCATAACTACAACTCATGCAATAAAACAGAAAAATTTTATGATCCTGGCTTCAGAGCGTACCTTGTTCGCACAGCAAAATATCAATGTTGGCTGGAATCGCGAGTTTACGTTCAGCTATGTGGCGAAGCAAGGTGGTTTTACCGTGCCTAAAATGAATGCTGGAGATTATCTTGGCAAAAATTGAAAGCTAATTAAAGTGAGACATACCCATTTGGTCCACAAAGGCCGTAGCGCCGCCCATGAGTGATTTGGAGCGAGGCGTTGACGAAAAGGTCCTTACCCTTTGCGGAGAGGGAGAAGCCCTCAACTTTTATGTCCAACTGATTTTCGTTAACCGTTGCTTTTCCGGCGGCCTACAAGAGAATAAGATTTTAAAAAAAAACTTCACCATACAGCCACCACCCAGTGACAGCTATAGAGACTAATTTCGATGCAAAGAACTTGAACATATCTGGCCCTGTTCGATCCGAAACTCTTTAGTAAAATGTCTAGACACGAACTAGAGTAGTGGTATTTTCAGAACTGACGGCGTGAATTCCCTAGACCTGGATACCCAACTCTCGTGAGTCCGTAATTGTCACAACTGCACTACTTCAAATAAGGACACTTGTTGATGCAATTATTAAAGGCATACATAACCTAAAAATGCAGAACAGGGCCAATTCTCCTCAGGAGTAGCAAAAGAGCGTTATTTGGTCGTGTTTGTGTGTTGACCTAATACACTGGAGAAACTTAAGGTAAACTTCGGTCCACATCAATTACGCCACAAGGAACATGATGGTGAGAAGTAAACCCCAATTCACCTTCATAATAATAATAATTATTATTATTATTTACACCATTTTAAAAACCTATCGGAAGACCTAAAACAGGATGCAAATTACATAGTCACCAATGTAGCCCATGTATGCATAAGCAACGCTGGATTTAAATGCAAAAACATGGCCGTTTTCCAAGCAAAATGATCGCAAAAAATAGGATTTCATAGTTATTTGACAATGATTTGTAAAAACAATTCGTACCTAGGAATAAATGTGTGCTAGGAAGTTAAGTTATATAAATGCATTGCATTACAAATACCACCTTGCCCAAATCTAGACAGGCTAAGACTGTTAATGATACTAGTTGAATTTGTCACAAGAGAACAAACTGACAAGCGTAACGTACTTGTGAGAGAGAGAAGTTGTCCAAAGTCCCAGCATTCGCAACGGTGGAAATCTTCGCAGCTTCTACCATTTTAGTAAACTCCTCACGTTTTTTTTGCTTTTTTAACTCCTTCCGTGAAATCTTCGGTGACTTCTGTTTCTTTGCTACTTCTTCCGTGTCAGGAAGGGAGTCATGCACACCAGCTTCTGCCTTCGCTACATTAGCCTCAGCTTCTGCCTCCGCTACATTAGCCTCGGCTTCAGCATGCATTTCCGTTGAAGGTTCAGGCTCTGTGAGTTTAGGTTCATCTGGATCAGACCCGCGCAGTTCTTCTGGTTCTTCGGGCTCAGGTTCGATAAAAGCCTCAAATCGCGTGTTCTTTTTATTCTTATTCTTCTTTTTTGGTTGGTAGATATCATCCCCAACTTCTTTTTCGTCTTCTATCATTACGGCAGCCATCTTTTCAGCCAGCTTCTTTTCTTCGTCTTCAGAATCACCCCAATCATCACCAGGACGACCTTTTTTGCCTTTTTTACCGCCCTTTTTCGTGACAGTTCGTGGCTCCTGCTGAGTCTTGGCTTCCTGGGCCTTAACTCCACGACCAGCTTTCCGTTTTTTCTTGTAGAATTCCTCATCTATACCATCAACACCAGGATCATTTACTTCAAAGCCGCCATATGTTTGAGGAGCAGCAGCAGGCAAAGGTGGCTCTTCTTCACTATCCGACAAACGTTTCGAGCCCTTCTTTTGTTTTTTGCTAGATTTGATTGGCACTTGCCCTTTCGATTTAACACCACAATCTTCCAAGGACTTTTTCCCAGTGGGAACCGACGTGTTCTCATCCCCACTGGAATCAAGTCTATCACGACTCTTTTTGCCTTTAACTCTTGCATTTGAACGTACTGGTCCAGCGACTTCATCATCATCGACGGGTTTATGATTTTTCTTCCCCTCCCCTTTTAATTGAGGTTGGTGGCCTGAGATTTTGTAGTCCTCCTGTACATTCGACTTCTGCTTTTCTTTACGCTTCCCTGCTTTCTGCTTGATTCTTGAACTCATATCAGAATCACTGACTTCACAGTCACCATGGGTTTGGGAAGGCTCCGATTCTTCGTCGGACATGTGGCTCAAGCCTTTATTTACTTTCTTGTTAGATTTGGCATTAGATTTCCCTTTAGCCCCAGTTTTGAAAGTCTCAGCAGACCTTTCAGTACTCATTAACTCAGTGTCATCATCCGTACTCGATTCATACCGATTCCGATTCCTCTTGCCCTTAACTTTAGGGTTTTTGCGGTTTAAAGCTTCGTCCTGTTCCTTGGATGCCTGACTACTGACTTCATCCAGATCTCTAGCTTTATGGTTTTTTTTGGTTTCCCCTTTCAATTGGGATGTGTGTTCAGCACTTTCAAGGTTGTCATCCGGTTTCGATTTTTGCATTGCTTTACGGTTTCCTGTTATCTGTTTACCTTTACCACCTTTTCGTTTCGGTAATTCATCATCCGATATATTATCGAAATGAGTAGCAGTCCTAGGGGCTGGTTCGTCGTCGTCATCAACGAAATTTCGACGATTTCTCTTGGGAGGCATTGCACACAGAACAGAACTTTGGCTAAAGTGACCAAAGGCCAAAACCTCCTATTCTAATTGGACGAAAATTAGATGTCAAAAAAAACAGGTGTGAAAAAGTCGATTAAAAATACAAAAAAATAATTGGAGGCGACCTATAGCATACTTTCCAAGAAGACCAAGTGTAAAATTAAGAAAATGTTAATACATAACCTCTGGACCATTTGATGGCAATAACACTTATGTGTCATTCAAAAAAATGCCTCCAGAATGAACCTCTTTAAGTCGTTGCACTAATAAAATATGCTCTAGATTTAAAAAAATATATTTAATTTAATTTATTGCGCAATACTCACTCGATTGTAGGTTGTTAATTTTGACAATCATATTTTCAGTTTTGTTTTTGGAAGTTGAATGTGCCTTGAAATGAAAAGATAGGCTGGCATATTGCAAGTTACAGCACATTCTTCTTGCTTACGTTAAGACGCACAACATACAATTTACTTGACTATGTGCTGGTATGAAATCTTTTAGTCTTTGTTAGTCGTGATACATTTTTAGAATTAAATTTGCCTTTAAAGATCTAGGATAAAAGACACAAATACGTTTTCGAAAAAGGCAGGCTTCTTTATGTTTTTTAGGGTAGCTTTTTTGAAAGATGTTATGCAAAGTATTTTATTAACTGCTTTCACTGGCAAATATGTTGCTCGTTTACAGTTATTATAATCGTCGGAGCTCGTGAATGGCTTCCGTATAGCAAATCCTCTCTGTTTTAAATCGTGCATAATGAAGATGTCATTACAAACAATGACACAACGAAGAGTTCATCGGATAGTAGTGACGTATCAGGATATTGCATATATAAATATGGTATATCTTATGTCATTTTTGATTACTGACATTATTACAACCTCGTTGACACGCCAATATGCAGCATTTAAAGTCGAACATTGATTTAAATAACGCTTAGCTCGGTTCCACAGACAAGGCTTTAAAAACCTATCTTAAGAAAAAACCTAGCGTCAGGAGCCGTCTATGGGGGTACCTTACGCCAACTGCGCCGCTCATTATGTGCTGCTTCTCATTGGTGGCCGTCTTTGGCTGGCTGGCTATTTTCCAAGGAGAGAGAATTAGCGGAAGCCACCGTGGTTTAACATATCTGTGCATCCCAGACGTCGCCACAGAAACAGCACACTATGTAGAATACCCGAGCCCTAATAGGAAAAAGACGGGTACAACAGAACAGGCATTATTGACCAATCACGAGCCAGAGCCACGCGTCAGGCGCCTTCCATCCGAGTCCACCACGCCGCTCATTATATACTGCACCTCAGTCGCGTCCTTCTCTGGTTGGCTACTTACCTTCCTCGCTTGCCATTGGAACGCAGAGGGACACAGGATTGGCTGCGGTCAGGTGGTCCAACATGTCTGCGCCCTAATCCGACGCCAACCACACCACAACTGTAGAATACCCGAGCCCTAATAGGTAAAAGACTGGTACAACAGAACAGGCTTTATTGACCAATCAGAAGCCAGAGCCTCGCGTTAGGCGCCTTCCATCCGAGTCCACCGCGCTGGCCACGCCGCTCATTATATACTGCTCCTCAGTCGTGTCCTTCTCTGGTTG